AACCTGTGATTTCAGTCTGTGAAAGGTGCTGACATCAGTGTTGCTGACAAAGCAATCTAACCTCCCTCCCCCCTTTTTTCTTCTCCTTTTTGTATTTGTACAGGGTGACATCCAGCAGCTGCTGATAGTGGCAGACCCCAGGGCAGCCTATGACTACTGTGAACACTACAGCCCCGACTGTGAAACTCCCAACCACCATGACACCCCCCAGGCTCAAGAACCCGAGGATGAGGTCTGTCTCTGGAAAGAGAAATAAGGCATGCAAAGCAGAATGCATTGAAGAGTAGGGACCAGAAAGAATGTGTGGTTCTCCAGAGGGAGGGGAGGACGGGGAGCTGAGAGAGACGAGGGGGAGGTAGACAGAGTGTTGAAGTCAGCCTCCAGACTTGAATGAAACAGAACAGAAGACAAAGGTGTATAAAATAATGACCAGTGACTACATTAAAAATGAAAAAGTCTGATTTGGCCCAATAATATTTAAAGGGTGTTTTTCTCATGCAGGCTGAAAAATGTTTTAAGACCTTCACATTTTTACTTTTCGACAAACCTCTGACACTGGTTTGTAGGGCGTTTATGGTACTATGAGTCTCTTTAAAACACTTTCACACAGTAGCCAGAACGGAGTTCATTCAATCATTCATTCAGATTATTGGCGCTCCGTCCTTCTCAGAGTCGTGGGAGGGCTTGAGCCAATCCCAGCAGTCTTTTGGTGAGGGCGGAGTGGACTGTGGACAGTCCAATGGTCCGTTACAGAGTCACAGGTGGAGACAAAAACAAATCACAATTCACACTGGTGAACTGGGAATCTTTTTGCAAAGTAAACCTAAAGTAGTGTAGATGGTGGGTTGTAGGTTTCAATCCCACACTGAGTAGGTCATATACCACTCTCAGGAAGATGGACACAACCTGGAGTATAGAGAACGTTGGTTGTCATCAGGACTAGAAAGCACCATAACTTCACCATTAACTTTAACCAGAGATCTACTGGTAAGAAAGGCAGGAATTTAACAAAGTTGTGTGAATTTGGATGACGAATTTAAAATTTAACAAAGTTGTGTGAATTTGGATTATGAATTTTTCTACTGGTAAGAAAGGCAGGAATTTAAGTTGTGTGAATTTGGATTACGAATTTAAAAAAAAAGTTGATCGCTGTAGAAAAAAGAGAAAAGAAATAACTACACAGCGTGAAGCCTGGGATTTGGAAAAATACACCCATCCCATAAATAATGGTTTGACAGCTAGAACTAGAATCAGATCAATTTTCCCTGGATCAAGCCAGCCAATATTTGTTGTGCCAGAAATACAGGAAACGGTACAAGAACAGTTTTTGTTTCATTCCAAAAATGTTTTCAGAAAATCCAGGCAGAAATTCTCCAGAAAAAGCAAACTGCCTTTGCTTTCTTTCCTTTTTTAAAAACGAATTTCTTTGAGTATTATATTAGTACAAAGTATTATGCACAAATATTGCATTCAGTTCAAAATCTAAATTTAAATATTTATTTATGTATTTCTTAAATGTCTCTCAAACCCCTGAATTCAAACTCAACCTTTTTATCAATACCTTTTGGTTATTTGTGACTTTGAGCCCATGCTGCGTTCCCTTTCACCAAATGACTGGTGAGCTCACACTGGAAACTTTTCCCCTTTCCCAGCCACAGAGTCTAAGCCCACTTCTGAGTGGCCCTGTGATTTATTACACTAACGAGTTCAGCAGCCTCTGCCCAGACTCCCAGGGAAATTCAAGCTTTTCCTTCCCCAGCAAGCATTCCAGTACCTGGAAAAGTAGACTTTAGGTCCTTGGTTTAGGAGAGAAAATCAGGAGCTTCTACTTCAATTTGAAAAAGTTAGCTGAAAGGTTTGTATCATGTCCTGGAGGGTGGGGGCCAGGGGAGTGTAAAAAGCTTCATTAACACTTGTTACTCTTTGGGGCCAAAACAAGATTTCCTGGTCGTCAGTAAAGAGCAGGAAGTTTTGCCCAGAAAATATTGTACATTTGGGTAACTTAATGACCAAAGTTTTTCCCACTTTACACTTTTATAGACTGAAAAGTTAAAATCACTGACTGTAGTAACAAATCACTACAGCAGAGGTGTATTGTTGTGACACTGAGTTCATTTAAGTTTTTTCTCAGGAAGTCTAAAGGTCTCCGTTTGTTTGTTTTTTTAGTAGTGTATCTGAAGTTTCCTTCAGATACACAAACTGTATCAGTTTGTGTATCTGAAGTTTCCTTCAGATACACAAACTGTATCAGTTTGTGTAAAGCTCGTCCCCAAACTGAGGCTTTGGGCTCAGTCTTAGGACGAGCTCTGACCTTTAGCCCACTGGCTGAGCAGCCGCCGATACCGTGTCTGCGGCTGTGGTAAAAAGCGGAAGTGAGATGAAGCAAGAGAAAGAAAAGCAAGAGGCCATTGAGGGAGCTTCAGTATTTATGCCTTTTAGCCAGACCTGCGGTGAAGATCTTCAGCTTCGCCAAGTACTTCAAAGAAATAAATCTTTTTCTCCACTTTCTGAACCGCCTCTCTGTTTCCCCCCTGAGTCGGTGGAGCGACGTTGGCCAGGGCTTCTCTCTTGAATGACCCTTCTTCGGTCTCGACGTATGAAATGAAGCCAGACCAGCGTTGCAGCTGGCTGTGGATATTGTATTATTTTTATGAGCGCAGACCGTGTCCAGGGACTAATATTTATCTCTGAACTGATAGAGCATTGCATACGAGCGGAGCAGCTGCTCTGTTAAGTTAATCTACCTCGACCAAGTTTTGACAGTGATAGGAGAGCAAATGGTGGAGTTTCACTGACAAAAGTCTTCAGTGGTTACATATTAAAATGACATAATATTCCTTGGGCTGCAGTCAGGCCACCAAGGCCAACTGATCCTGACTGTTGAAAATAACTAAAAAAAAAAAATATTTCCCCATTTGCTCCAGGACTGATTTGTTGATATTGGTGTTTGTTATGATTCATTATGCAGCTAAAACAAAGGGAGAATTGGCCCAAGCTTAGCATTAAATGTGAAAGCACATGGCCTGCTTTGCTAAATGCCACATGTTGACACCCGCAAGGGCAAAACAGTTGTGTTGTACCACTGTTACAGGACTCTTGTTGTAATTCAGGGGCTCAGAGATGTGCACTAGTCTGCAGTTTCCTTTATTTCTGACTCATCTGGGTCTGAAGCCACAACAATGACATTGACTCTCACTGTCCATCTGTCTCATTTCTGTCAAACTCTATCAGAAAAGTAAAACAATGCTGTCCATCTGTCTCATTTCTGTCAAACTGTATCAGAAAAGTAAAACAATGCTGCTCCTCCCCAATGTAAACGTGATGACGTTGCACGCAACGCCAACTTCTGTTCACAATATGACACTTGCGTTTCCGTTTCCTCCGAAACCTTCCCCAGTCTGCCCCACTTTGAATACATTATGAGGTCACATTTATAATTATTTGTGTGTTAGTGTGGCTTGCAAAAGTTACACACCCAAAGCCACTGAGGTTAATAAATGTATGAGAGATATGAAAGCATTTAATAAATTGACGTTCACATTTAAAAGGTTTAAAGTCCTGCTTCCATGTTTTCAATAAACTTTTTTTTAGTGTGCAGTAAATCGTAGGCATCAGGTCAGAAGAGGAATCAGGGATAAATTATGGTCCTTGATAGTGTTTATAAGTAAACATGAAATGAAGTGAAATGTATTTTCTACATTTATGTCATGTAAATTTCAGTCCTGCCACTCAACTGACTGTCTCCACTGTTTGTCCTCACAGTACACTAATTATGAATATGGAGAATTCTACGACTACAGCGAGGGAACGTTAACCACGGATCCTCCCCCAGTTGAAGACGCCAAGACAGAGGTAACACTCTAACCATGTCATTTTTACAGCTCTTACCAACGTGCTGTAAACAATGGCATCATCGTTTCATCCTGTTTGTCCTTGTCCTTCCCTCAGTTTACTGCAGAAATGAAAATAAATAAATCCACCTCAGTTCCTTAATGAGTTCTGCCCCTTTTGTCTGCACAGGTCAAAGTGAGTGAGGACTATTATCCTGCAGAGTATGACTACACCACAGTGGACGGAAGCCAACCAGAGACTCCCACTGATAAGGTAGGACAAGGACAGGTAATCAATCCAGAGTCTTTGATTTTAGAGTCTGCAATAAAATATCTGAATCCAAATCCAAACAGAAATCTGCTTTAAAACTTTATTTTCATCTAAAGTTGGTAGCTGCACAGATGTTTATTGCCATGGTGAAATACAGCCGGTGGGCAGCAAATATCTGTGTGGCTTAATATTTAAAATTCAGATTCCAAATCTCATTCCACTGCTGAATTTACACAACAAAGTGTCAGCTTTAACCAGCGTGTGTCCGGTGACTAAGGCAGGAAAGACTTGACATCTGTGGGCTGTGACCAGTGGAAAATCAGTAGACAGACACAACTCTGGTGTTCCTGCTCTTTCTATCCACCGATGCTCTCAGTTCGTCCGCGCCAGACCGTTTCAACGTAATCAGAAAAATAGGAGTGTTGAGCTGGAAGTGCTCAGCTGTGTGCTCCACTGGCCAAATGTCTGCAGATTACATTGTGATATAACATAAGATGAAAAACACAGCGTCTCCGCAGCTGGAGGGCTGTTTTGGAAGGTATTTGTTTTTTTGTGAGATTTCTTGGCAGATTTGTCTGATTAGTGTTGATGCAATGGAAACGCTTTCAGACATGGCACAAGTACAATAATGGTGATATAATGTGAATCATTTGTCATGTGTGCTGTTGATCACTGCTGTGTGTAAGGGTGATGTTTAAGTCAGTGCTGGTCTGGGTCAGCAGGTTGGTTAGTGCTGTGAATTAATCAGGAATAATCACAATTAATTGGAATACATTTAATTTCTGTAAATATGACAAAGAAACAGCAGGTAGATGTATGTACTGTATGTGTCACTAATCTAAATGTTGAACTTATTAGGATGGGAAAAATGTCAAGAAAATATACTTTATCACAATGAATCATAGAGTAGATTTTAGTCATTACTGTGATGGAAGCTTTAAGAACACAATAATATTTATTAGTCTGCAGTCCTAGACAATCCATTTGGCATTTGTGTCCGTCAGTCAGTCACAGATTAAAAAAACAGAGGAATAAAATATGTGGCACAAAGATAATAAAGATGAATGAACAGGTTTATTTTATAGTTTGACTCATCCGTTCAAACTTAGATCAAATCTCAAAAGTTGCCCATCTTCATTTATATGTAGACCATGACTGCCTTCACCAGTATGATATGGATGAATTGAACAGTTGATGTCCAAAGATCGAAGAATCGCCGAGCTAAAAAAAACAAAATACATCATGTCATTACATGGATAATTTCACTAACCAGTTCTCCATATGCCTTCTGTTCTTGACAACCTCTGACCATCACTGCATTCCTCGGACGAATCCCAGACCTACGATGGTGAAATAGTGGATGATTACATCACCGGAGTGGAACAGGTTGGAGCGGAGCCCACGGTAGCTGTGGAAACCGCTCACGCAGTGGACAACCAGGACAAAGTGGACCCTGCTACTGACGACTATAAATTTATGGAGTATGAAATCAAGGAAAATGACAACACCTACCACAAGGAGGTTGTGAAGAAGCTGTACGACTACGAAGAATACGAGGATTACGGCCCCACAGACGCCATGCCAACTTCTGCAGTGTATGAGGAGGAGTTTGGTCCCGGTGTTCCTGCAGAGACTGACTTTAAAGAGAGCAACGTAAGTGGTATGGATGAGTTAAAAATGGTTGTGCTGAGGACTGGGTTAAAGGTCAGGGACCAGGGGAGTGGAGATGGATCACGATGCCTGTGTTAGTGTTTTTTTTCTCCACACTTTCACTAGAAACAAATAAACAAAAGAGGCGAGATGTCGACCTTTATGACAGAACAGACACACAACCTGTAACCTCTTGACCCCCGTGACCCCTGTTGTTTATCAAAGAAATGCCTTTCTGGGTTGTCACACACAGTCTGGACTTGGTTGACTATTTTAAAAAGTCTCATTGAATGCAGTTTTAATCACTTCCATATCAGTAACCACTAAAGTATTTGCCCAGTCCGTGTCTGCCTCGGCTTGCTTCCAGTCCATTTCCTTGAATCAGGATCCAGATTCTCAGGGACAGGAAGTGACATGGAGCTTGGCTGAGTGTTAGTTGGAGATCTGTCTGCTTTCAGTCTCTGTTTGTGTCTCTATTAATGTCTTTATTTGCGCTCACAGCTTGACAATCTGAGAAACCACAAATAAATATTCATCAGCTTTTTCTTTAAAAACAGCTGCATCTTCAGACTTATTTGCACAATCCAGGGTCGGGTTTCAAACCCACAGCTTCAGGTGGTTTTTAAATTCCACATTTGTGAAGTCATTGTATGGATAGTGTCAGCTAATGACCTTTAGATCTGTGCACAGTTGGGTTCTGTTTGTGCAGTCTTTGCCAGTTTAATAAGTAGGCGCTAAAGCAAAGGCTTCTTTCATAGCAGCTTTTTGATGCAACCTTGATGAAAAGAAGGAGACGACCAGGGCGTCAGACGGGGACATCTGTTGAGCATTGGTTTCACATTTTCCATTTTTGGCTGTAAAAGCAGTGCATTTAGAACATTTGGCTGTGAAAAACTTGGCTGTGAAAAGGTTCGGTCTGTTAATGTGTAAGGCGCTGACCTGGTCTGTCCTGTGTCTGTAGGTGGGCGGCGGCCAGAGTTACCTGGGGGAGAAAGGAGAAAAGGGTGAACCTGCCGTCTTTGAGCCTGTAAGTAAAGCAGAGTGTTGACGACCACGTCATTAAACACAACATTTTCCACAGTCACATTCAGAAGAAATTAAATTGTGTGGGTGTGTGAATACGCTTATTATTTATTTAGCCTACAGCTGCAGCTATAGTGTGCTGTACATTTTTGTATTTGAACTACAGTAACATTTGTTTATCCCATAATATTTACTGCGTTAAATGCCATCAGATTAACATTATTTACTACAACAGTGTTTGACGTTTCATTTATTCATTTTCTACAAAGTGTTTTTTTCTTTTCTACCACTTTTGTTTCTTTTTCCATATTTGTTTCTTTCTTTTTTCATTTATTTTTTTATTTTCCTGTACCCTTCATAAATACTAATATATCTCAAAACAGAGGCTATAAAATAGGTCATTTGGAAAAAACCTTTTTTTCATCCACATTTATGAGGGACACATCTATGGAATTTATACATTTATAAAAGAAATACAGACTGGACGACTTAGTCAGGTAGAGTTAAATTTTCGCCACGTGAATCACCCACGTGCGGCCAGCTACTAGATGTCAGTATAATATAATCTGACCCCCTGTTGGATGGTAGGGGCAACAGTGGCCCCTGGGCTCATTTGAGTTTGAGACCCAGATCTGAAGAGTCCATCCTCCCCCACACTCCTTCAGTATATTAAATATAACTTCAAAGTGCGGTTCATCTGCTGTATCTCTACATAAATCTCCCGGTCTTCCCGCTGTCTTGGCAAATCAGGTGGACGTCATATTTTAAATTTAGCAATGTCTTTTTTCATTAGCCAAGACTTTTCCAACTGCTGCACTCTGGCACTTACACACCTGCAAAAGTCTGCGGCGGGTTTTTAAAGTTGTGAATTTTTTAAAAAAATCTTTTAAATCCTTTTAATTTCAACTGACAGTATTAGTAGTACGAGACAAAGTGCTACTGTGATAAAGTGAACGGATGCAGCTTTAATATCGACTAAAAAAGAAGCTGCTGTCAGTTTTTCTACTTTCTCACCTTTTTGCCTTGCAGGCTTTCATTCAAACCACAGATCACAAACACATTGTGGAACAAAGTAGGTCAGTTGTTGCCCAACTTTTTTTTACTCAGCCGTTGTGGACCCCAGACGCATTGGCAGCTTTAGCTTCAAAACTAAAATCTAACTTTTCAACTTTTAAAGCTGTGATCCCATCATTTCTTTTCATTAAACAGCGGACTTTGACTACAATTCAGTGCTATAATGGGATAGGTAACATAAATCATGCCCCTATGTTTGAGACCATCGATGAAGACAAAGATAATAGTTGGTCGCTTTCCAATTCCAGTCACTTTAAACCTGATGCACTGCATCTGAGACTGTTCACTGCTGCCTATGGATTCAAAGGCTGCCCTGTAAGGCTACTGTATTCACTTTCTTCTTTTTTTTTCAGGGTATGCTTATAGAAGGAGCCCAAGGAGCCCCTGGCCAAGCAGTGAGTATCACATTCTCCTATACTCCTGTCTGCCTTTCACAGATGGAGAACAGCTAAAGAGGGAAAACATGTCTTTATGTTAAGAGAGTGTCAGTCCTGATCGCCAGTGAAGCTTGAGCTTAGAAATACAGTCAAAATGTGTGTGTGTAAGAGAGAGAGAGACAGACAAACAGAGAGAGAGAGACAGACAGAAGAAATAGGAGATATTTTATTTTCAGACTTATTTCTTTTTGAACCCATCTTCTCCTTAGTCTTTCTTGGCCGGCACATGTGAAATATTGGTTAGCCTGCATGTGGTGGGAACGCTGGTTAGCAGCACTTTAGGATATAATATGCTACGTGTCTAAGTCTGTCTTTCTGTGTGTGGTTTCAGGGTCTTCCTGGGAGCCCAGGATTGCAGGGTCCCCCAGGTTCTCCTGGAGACCACGGTGAAAGAGTAAGTGAAGGCCGGCTGCTTCTCACACCTTAATTACACATAGTCATTAGTAGCAGCTTTCCCCTCGTTAATTCCATTGATTAGAAATCCCAAATTGCATTATGATAAATATAAATAATAAAGTAAAAATAAAACCCAGATTTCAAAAATTCAATTTCATATCAAATACGCAAAACTTTAATTGTGGAGTAATAAGCAAAAGATAAGAAAACATTCATTTCCTGGTGTTAATTTAGTAGAAAAATCAAGGATTAAAAAAACATCCTTCGATTGGTTTTCCTGCTGGTTGTTTTTTAGCTACATACATATCACCACACATTTGATCATATTAACATTAGGCCTCATAGAATACTGCTGACCTATGAGTAATTATGGGTTTGGACAAATGAACAGAATAGCTAAAGAGAGATTTTAGATGGAAGAAGTCTGAAGTACTGAGAAGCAGTCTCCAGTTCTGTAGAATTTCATTATTTTTGATTGATTTGATGACACAGACTAATTGCGTGTCTCCTCCAGAAAATCTGCTTCTCAGCATTTTTTTTTCCTCCCCAAATTAGCCCCAGATCTCATTGACACCACCCTGTGGGCTGTAATCCATTTGGTGTACTGTATATGACCAGCAGGTTGTGTTTTTTTATACGAAGGCTTTTTGTCTCTCAGTGTCAGCGTGATCAACAATGTTTCATTGGTCCAACAGCCCCCCCATCCCCTTTCCTTTTACTTCCATGAGAGACAGTCTCACTGAGGTCTGACGTGGTTATTAACAAGTGACTCTTTTCTGTAGTCTCGCGGTTTTCCGTTACGCAGTATCCCTCTGGTCTGGACGTTTGATCGGCTCATTTCACTCACGGTCGCCACCCCTGCTGTGCTTTCCACCAAAGTGCCATTTTCCCAGATATGTAGGCTCCCAATTATTCTAGATGCCGCTCTGCATACTGTAACAGCAACGGGGAGAAGAATATTTACTACCTCTGGGAAGAGGCAGACGAACACACATGGTATCAATTTGAAGCGTCAGTCTGAGATTGGAGCAGATGACAAGACTAGCTGAAGTAGAGTCTGGATTCTCTGAAACCACTGAGGTTGATAAAGCCTGAAGTCAAATCTAATAATATCATATTTCACCTTTCTGCTGTGGTTGTTAAAATATGGAAACTTTCCTGAAAGTAAAACTCACTAAAATCCTGAGAGAAAAAAATAGCTTAATCTTTGATTATTGTTATTGATTGATTTCTTTTACAAAAATAAAAATGTAGTTTTTAGACAATAACATCTAATAACACACGGCAAAAGAAGGAACAAATAAAAAAAATATATATATATAAACTCAACAAAAGAAATTTCCGAACACAATCTTAATTTAAGTCTAAACACGTCAGCAAACACTGTTTCCATCATATAATTATTTTGGAAAACTGCAGGATGAATTTCGTCATGAAACTTTTTGACCAACCATTGCACAATTGAACTTTGGTGGAAAACTATTTTCTGAGTAATACTTTCTAAGTGAAAGTACCAGGATCTCTCTTGACGTTCCAGTCTGACTCTGTCAGTTGTCATTTAGTCCAGATGTAAATTCCAGGTCTTCAGTCCAGATCTGTGTCCTTTTGAAAATGTCTGACACGTCACGGCGAGGAAAATCTGACCGTTTACTAGTCTTTTCTGCAACTGGAAAACTGAAACAGCTGATACACGGAAGTTTCATGACTATTTCAAAGTATCAGCAGTAAAAGATACAGTGGATATAAAGTCAGATACATTTTGCAGTCATTAACTCAACAATTAAGTCACTGATAATTCTTTCGTTTTCAATTGGGCTTTGAAATAACGGCATTGGCATTTTTCCTCCACATGCTTTTCAATTCAAATCAAATAATTCTGGTTATTTTCTACTGTTATGTATCAATAATGAATATATTGATACGATTACTATATATTTATTATATTCCTTTGTTTATACATTGTTTTTCTGACCCTTTTCTTTTAATAATCTGAGGAAAGGACAAAACCAGCCTGGTATCGTATGAGGAAACGCACGCCTACTTCATCAACTCCCCCTGATGATTTGTTGTCTCTCTGCTGTACAGACTCATCCGAATACTGAACACATATAACACTAAAAAATACTCTGTAAACTTCTCTCTCCCTTTCGCTCTCCAGGGTCCTCCAGGGCGTCCTGGTATTCCAGGTTCTGATGGTGTCCCTGGTCCTCCAGGTACCATTCTGATGCTTCCTGTAAGTCCACCGCTTCCCACACATTCAACGGCCTGCCTGTTGTGTGTGTTTTTTTACATACTGTACATGTTAAATCCAGACCACCAGTGTGTGTTTGTGTGCATGTGTGTGTGTGTGTGTGTTATCCTCACAACATCAGCAGCAGCCCAGAAGATCATGGGCCTGTTTTCTTTGGGTTACAAATCACTTACATTGTAAATGTCAGCAAGTGCAATGGAGTGGAACCAGTGACTACTGAGGCTTTAAAGGCCAGGTGATACAGTGTGTGTGTGTGTGTGTGTGTGTTGAAACATAACTTTACGATTTTAACAAAACTCAGCACATATTTGAAAACAGTCACCAGGGGAGCTCATTGGTTTATACAGACAAGGCACTTGGTTTGTTATTGTGTTTTATTCACGTCCTTCTTTCTTTTCTACTTCTACCTACCTCCTCTTCTTCATCTTGTTTTTTTCTCTTTTTTCTTATTTTGTCTTCTTCTAATTTTCCTCCTCCTTCTTCTTCTTCTTCCTCTTCTTCTTTTTCTTCTTCTTCTTCTTCTTCTCAAACATGTAATAGTTCCGAGCAGGTGGAGAGTCCCACAAAGGCCCTGTGGTTTCTGCACAGGAAGCTCAGGCTCAGGCCATCCTCTCTCAGGCCAGGGTAAGTAGTATTTTTCCCCCTAATGATTTCTATTTAAATTAAAAATTATTGTCTGGTGCAAATAAGCTCTTCCCGTGTGAACCACAGTTGGCTATGAGAGGTCCACCCGGACCACAGGGCATGATGGGAAGATCTGGTCCTGTGGTATGTATGTTTTTTTACTTCTATCCCTGGTTTTGGAAACATTCACTGATTAGGAAGAAACACAGTTTCTGATTTGAACGATTGACACTTCATTGTTTGTTTCAACATCCACTCTACTGCTGTCATCATTTTTATAACAGGTGAAGTCTTTCCCTCGCCTTAGGGTTGTTTTTCCACACATACAGAATCACCTTATCACATTATTCTGCTATTGGTGAAATGTTGTAGTGTGTATTGACTGTACATGTGCACATACTGTTCATTATCAATAATATTGTGTTATAAATTCCTGAGTTTGTGCTTCTGTTGTGGACAGGGAGGTCCTGGTGCTCCTGGACTTAAAGGTGACAGCGGTGATTCTGGACCACAGGTAAAAGAAAAACCTGGTTGTTATGGTGATTTAATTATTAATATTCATTGAATTATTCTAGAGCTACACAGTTTAGCTGATCTCAAATCCTTGCTTACCTATCCTCTGTGCAATGACTCCTCCTTTCCCACCCCCTCACTTTTTATGACTGGTGTTTTCTATCCAATCATCTTAGGGACCCAGAGGTCTTCAAGGTCCATCGGGACCTCCAGGAAAGCTAGGGAAGCGGGTAAATACCTTCCTTTTCCCCCCTGCCTAATTGAATTCATTGATTAATCTCCTTCAGCGTTTGGTTCTTGAAATGGACAATCAATTTAAGCCCTTTCTCCAAATCCAAGAGTCAAGGTTACCGTGCCCAAGGAGTGGAGCCTGTGTAGTCTCAAACGTGGCCGCGTTTCAAAATCATTCAGCTGCACTTGATTTTGTGTCTCTGTCTTGTGCAAATTTCATGTTTATTCAATAACCAACGAGTTAAAGGAATGATCTCCTCTCTTTGTTTGTTGTGCACAACCTTTCAAGGTAATTGAATATTTTCTACACGTTACCATGTAGCATGACAGGATATTTCTGTGTCTCTCAGGGTCGTAATGGCGCCGATGGAGCTCGAGGTTTGCCAGGAGAGGCAGGGAATAAGGTGAACCCATAAAAATGATATGCTGCCTCTGGACTACTTTTTCTTTTCATTTATTTATTTATTTCCACTCACTGTGCTGTAAAAGGAGGCACCTGTGTCATTGAGTAATCCTTGGTTACTGTGCTTCTTAAGGGGGATCGAGGCTTCGACGGTCTCCCAGGTCTTCCTGGAGAAAAGGGACACAGAGTGAGTAAAAACAAGGACACTTATGGAACCACATGACTGTCTCCTAACAGGACTTAATCCTTCTGTTAAATCCTCATTGAGGACAATGACTCCTGTCCTGCACCCTGGTTGAACAGTGGCATCATTTCTGATGGCTCTTCTTTACACTGCAGCATTGAAGGACACTGATTCTAGGGGCGTTAGAGTTTTTTAGATGCCTGATCCCAGTCAAAGGTTGTTGGTGGGTTCCACTCCAGCCTTCAGGCGGCCCTGACCTGGAGGCAAATGAGGATCGCTGGTGTTTGTGGAATTTGGGCTAAAAAGGGAGAGGACAGAGAGATCACAGAGTGGGATTTCCAGACAGCCTTTAATGCCTTATCCTATACTGAGTAATTACAGGGCCACCAAAGTCAGCCCAGTACTTATAGCGCATTATAAATAGCAGAAACTATATAGGTCTATGCCAAATGTTGAGTCCAAATTTAGTGTAAATTAAAGGCAGTTTTTTTTTTACCCCTGTGGATTTTTTAAGTATATTCTCCAAGGGTTATCTGAAGTGTTGACCTTTTCCTCGCTTTATCCAAAAACTTCAAGAACTGCGTCGACTCCTTTTCAGATCACATGTCATTTTCTCTGTTGATTATTTCTCTCTGCTCACTTATCTCTAGGGAGAGCTGGGTTCTACAGGTCCTCCAGGTCCTCCAGGAGAGGACGGCCCTAGAGTGAGTAGAATCTCGGCCGCCCTACCTCTTTGTTTTGTGCTTGATAAATTCTCATTTCATACATTTTTCCTTTTCCATTGTCAGGGTGAAGATGGCCAGGTTGGACAGAGAGGTGTGGCTGGAGAGAGTGTAAGTGGCTGTATCAGCTGATCATCATCACCACAGTGTGCTGACACTGACGCTTCACTTCTATCTTCGCTCTACATTGTTTCCCCACAACATTCATTCAGGCCATTATTTCATTACAAAGCCTCGCCCTTCTCTGCTCCTTCAGCTCTATCAACATTCCTGTCTGCAAACACCATTGCAGTCATTTACCCAGTTTGGAATAGGCTTTTTAAAAAATAGCATTAAAGGGGAATCAAGGAAGTGACTCTGGCTGCTCGTGAGAAACTCACACACTCGCACTATTCGCTCCAAATGGACCGAAGCTAAATGGACTGATGTAATAAGTTAAAGGACGTTTTTACAACGTGCTCTGTTTGATCAGAAAATAAACATAAAATAACACAGAAAAGTCATAACTATTAGTGGGACAATTCTTGCGTGACTTACAGACGTAGTTGAGTTGGTAATCGTGTGAAACCAACTCAGTAGATCAGATGGTAAATGACAGGGATGATCTAGTCTACATGCCGTTGTGTCTCTTGTTCAGGACACTGACCCTGCTGTTTTAGCAGCTTCTGGGAAAATTTCATGATTCACAAAGTGTTTAAAGGCTAATAAAACTAATAAAACACCAAAATCCAAAACCTGAAAGTCCATTTTAAATGTAGGTCATTTATAAGCAGCACTTTGCTCCCTTTGTTCCCTTATTTGCAGCTGTAGTTATCACAAATGGCCTCCGGAGGTCAGCACCTCACTGAGTCAGACTAATGACCAAAAGACTTGGCAGTACATTTAATACTCTCTGTACTGTACTTCCACTGTATTCTAAACAATATTTAAGTCAAGTGAGTGTAAATATATGAAGTATATGAAAGAGTATTTTTCTTTCATCACTAATTTACCACTTCCTGTCTTTTTTTACACAGGGACCTAGAGGTTTGCTGGGCCCCAGAGGGTCTGCTGGTACACCAGGACAGCGTGTAAGTAAACTTTACAGTAGTACTTCATTAAACTCATTCTGTGTGTTCTAAATACATTACATGGAATGATACAGGATATTTATGACTGTATTGTTTTATTAGGGTCTTCCTGGTCTCGACGGCCAAGCTGGTCCCAAAGGAAACATGGTGAGAATTCTTTATGGGGTTTTTTTGTCACTGTGTTTTATCACCAACAATCTGCAATCTGTGAAATAATTTGAATAAGTGAGGGTTAAGAGAATCACTGGTTACATGACAAAAACTGCTAATATATTGTAAAGCCATAGACCCAGCAGGACATATTAAATAAAAGTCAGTTAAATAATTATTATTAGCTTGCTATTTTTGAAAAAAAAAAGGAAAGAAATTGGTCAGTCTAGTCTAGTCAAAAATTAGTCATACTCTGTGTCTCATTCATCGTGGCCTTCACGCTTTAACTACCTGCTAAATTATCCCACCAATCTAATCCAGATTCTTAATTGTAGCCTTTTCCATTGAAGGCCCCTGTTACCAGTCCCAGCTCTGCAGCTAACCTCCTCTGACACGCTGGTGTTTAGTGTTTGTTGTTACAGCTGCAGCCGACTGCTGGAGCTCTGCTCTGTTTGTTACAGCCAGCATCTCTGCAGGGACAGCAGGAAGCAACACTAGTTGCATTTAGCCTTAGTAGTTTTAATCCACTCACACATGGTTCTGTGTCGTGGTGATGAAGTGTTTTATCGATAATCCACACCACTCGCCACAAACTGTCTTCGTCTGCTGAGCCAGAGTCTCACATTTCTCCTCAAAACAGTTCTTTTTTTGCCTGCCCTCGACACAGACTGTGTTAGGTCATTTCAGTCAGATCAACAAAGTCACCCAGAGTCCTCAGTCTGTCCAACACCTTCAAATAATGTAACAAAAGAATGGATGCACCAGAGGAGATTATCTGAGCTTTATGTGTAATTTTCTGTGATTTCCTGCACAATGTTGGCTGCGTTTCTCATGTTTGTGTAAATTGAATCAAAAGTTCAGAAAAAATTTGATTTTTTTACACTGAAAATGTGTTTGTTGAATCCTCTGATTTCTGTCTTTTTTTATTTTTTATTTTTTTTAAATACAGGGTCCACAAGGAGAGTCAGGGCCTCCTGGGCAACAGGGTCTGCCTGGTCCAAACGTACGTTTTATATTTATTTTACTTTTTTTCCCTCAAAGTCTTAGCATGTCCAAAATACTTTTTTTCCCTCAAAGTCTTAGCATATCCAAAATTGGGGGGTTTTTTTTGCCCCCTCCCCCACCCCCCAGCCTCACATCTTTTTCTTCAATTCTCCTTTTTAGCTGAATGTATTTTAGAACCATGAGAAATCACATGACTCCTGGAGCTCCTGTTTTCATAATCAAACATTTGAAGACATATTTTGTTGCTCTGTTTTCCTCCTTTATCCTTACATCCATCCTTCATTTCATAAACAGTAAAAAAAAGAACTCCCTGGACATAAATAATTACAGAATTTAAGATGTTTTTGTTTTTTCTGCCCCCTCACTCAGACAGATGTCTTTTCTGACCTGCTGTTGAAATGCAGTATCTATTCATTACCTCATTACATTGACATGTTGGTTACACTAATGAAAAAAAAATTCCATTTTAGAGTGGTCTTAATACAAATTGTCTGGTATCCAATAGTCATTGGCAGGTACCATTTTCAGGTGAACGTCATTTCCCTGGAAAATATTAGCAGGAGTCCAACCTGGTGCTACTAGAGGTTGAATAAATAACTTGTTCTTTTTCACCTGGCCTTTGGTAGCTGAAGGTGTTCCAGTGACGGAAATCAAATGTCAAAACTGTAACTGCGCTCTCTTATTATTACTTAGAGCCTCTTAAGTCATTACACATCTTTAAGGTTTGACTTCTGCAAGGTTTTCAAAGTTCCCCTTGCACAGTGGGAAACCAGTGTTCTTGGTCATTTTACCGCCTCACGAATGGATGGTTTTGGTTTCGCTGGTCTAATCACAGATCTTTTTTTACTTGTCTTTCAGGGTCTCATTGGTCCTCAAGGTCCAATTGGGCCTCCTGGTGACAAAGTAAGTACAGATGGAACCTGGTCCTTCATTCAGACTGTGCTGTAGCAGCAAATGAGTGCATTAGTCCAGACCACATAAGTGATTCTGCAGACTGACATCTGCCTGAGATATAGACCCTCACTGGCTCCTCTGCACAACACTGATGGACAAAACATCCGCAGGAGCGGTGCGTACAGATGTTTGGGTCCCTAAACCACTGTCTCTCTGTCTGTCCCTCTGTCTGTCTGTCCCTCTGTCTCTTTTTCTTTCTAGGGACCTCAAGGTAAACAAGGTTTGGCTGGCCTTGCTGGTGCTGATGGTCCTCCTGTAAGTTAATATTGACATTTTTTCAAACCAACTGAAACACACTAACACCTGACCACCTGCTCATACATGGTCTCTGTGAATGTCCCAGGGTCACCCAGGTAAAGAAGGTCCTGCCGGCGAGAAAGGAGCCACCGTATGTATTTTTTTTATTTATTTATTTTTTTGATTCATCAGCATTAACTCTATGCTGTTTGAAGAGGCATAATTTAACCAAATTGAACAAATTCAAAAACATTGACATTCTGTAAAAAAATTTAGCTTGTTTGTTACCATAAAAATAAGTTAATATAAAAGTTAATAAATTCAAAACATCCACCATTTACTGTACTGGTGACCAGAAATAACCCCTTGACCTTGACATGACCTTCATTTCTCAGGGTTTTTCTGGTCCTATTGGATCCATCGGCTATCCTGGACCTCGTGGCGTCAAAGTGAGCTTCATCTAATTCCCTCTGTCATAAATAATGAATAAATAAAAAGTTGTTTTTCTGCAGTCTTCTTCTGTCATTTATATTTCATTTTGCTTCTCCAGGGAGCTGACGGCATCAGAGGCCTTAAAGGTGGAAAAGGAGAAAAGGTAAAGAAAAAATCTTGACTTAAGTTACGGTAATTCTCCAGATAGACTAATACAGTGTTTGCTGTTTATGAAGATATTTAAACGGACAGATTAAAAAAGGATTTTTAAGATCAAATTTTTACAAGTGATTTAAATGTCTAAATGTTTGTACTAATAAAAGTATCTTTTCAAATTGATTCATCCAGTAGAACAGTGTAAGTTATAAACGTCTATGATATACATTTTCTGTAAAGTATTTTTTTAATGGTGAACTTGAACATTTACAAAAATATTGGAACCCGCATTCTCAAAACAAAACAGTAGATGTCAGCATAGTACAATACATTTTGATGGAAACTTATGTTCTGTCTTGCGAATGCTTTGCTTAAATAGCCACGAGATGTCAGCACTCCTCTTGCAAAAAGGATTCAATAGGAACATACTGTAGATAGATAGATAAACTGTGCAGAATTTCTAGGAACGCTTAAGTTTATTTTGTTGTTTTTGTCTGTAGGGGGAAGACGGATTTCCTGGCTTCAAAGGAGACATGGGCATCAAGGGTGAAAAGGTGAGTTACCATCAAACTTGTATCTAAATAAAAAATTATAAAACTTAATGTATTACACCTATACCTTCCTGTGTTTTGTCATAGGGTGAGGTTGGTTCACTAGGACCCAGAGGGGAGGACGGCCCTGAGGGCCCCAAGGGCAAATCAGGACCTGGTGGAGAAACTGGACCCATCGGTACAGCTGGAGAGAAAGTAAATAACAGCCGCAGCCTTCACACCTGCAAAAGGAGAATTCTAAATAAATATATTCCTGTGGTTCTTCTTAGTGTAGCTCTGCAGCAGTGACTTCTTTATGTTCATCAACAACATGAAACAACACACACAACCATCAGAGAGGGTGCCATTAATTACACTGTAACTGCCCTTGTCCATAAGTGCAGTGGGCTGCTACATCATTATCACGTAATAGAAATTTAACCAAGAGCAAGGAGTGAATTAAACTTTGGAGACCAGTGACGGCCCAGTGGATCTCAGTGGACACAGAAGAGCAGTCACAGCAGGACAAGCCCCAGCTCCTCTGTCCTTGCTGGACTCCTAGTACCTGCTGCTGCGGCTGCTGCTGCTGCTGCTGCTGCTGCTGCCCTCTTTGAAATTAGCTGGTGGTTAACACACTGCACCAAACAAAACACAGCCTCAGAGAAGGTGTTCTTCAGTTCTTCAAGTACAAGTATGCAAGTACACAGCCTCAGAGAAGGTGTTCTTCAGGAAGTTACCAGATCATTAGTAAGAAGTACAAGTATGCAAGCTAATGAATAATTCATATGTTATTGTGGCCAGTTTATGTCAAAATACCCAGTGTAATTATGCTAATCCTGCATGTGAGCAATGCAGGGGTTAATTATCTTTCTCATTAATTACATCCAGGTCTCCAGTATCCATGCTACACTTATTTGTTGATTTTTGTAAAAGAAATCTGTGGTTTGTCAAATATTCCAGTAAAACCCATCGATTCTCACCATCTGTAAATTGAAACAGAAATGGGTTTTCTTGGATGATAAGACTTATATTCATGATGATCACGGACTCTCTCCACTGAGACATGATAATCATTAAAAATGTTTTTAACGTCAGCGCAGGAAAAACTTTATTTGTTTCTTTTGGTAAATTTAATTTCTTTTTCTTCTTCTACAGGGAAAACTTGGAGTCCCTGGTTTGCCTGGATACCCTGGAAGACAGGGCCCTAAGGTGTGTACTGAGGAGCTCTTTAGTTGAGTTTGACATGTTTAGTTTTTTTGTGCCTGCTTGTAATTCACTTGGAAAAGAAACATTAGGCAGCTGTATGTGGAAAATCAGTGTCTTTGGTCACGGGCAGTTTAGCAGCGACTACGTCTGCACTCATCTGTGATGGTATCCTGAGGTCTTCATTCTGCACATAACCCATATGTTTGTTCTCTGCATTGATTCTGTCAGTGTTTTTTTTTTGTTCTGTTTTTGGAGCGGGCTTTTGTTTCAGTACTTACTCTAATCAAAACTGTTGTCGTGGTGCCTTTCTGAAGCTCGCTGATGGATTTGTTAATTCAATCTCATTTCCTTCGAATACGAACCAGACCGGACACCTGACCCAGGTCCAGACATGGTCGTCCGAAACAGTCTGGCAGGTTTTTGCTGACCACACTCTGCCACAACTCAATGATTCAAGAGTGTGTGGTCAGAATTGTTAGGAGCAATGTTTTCCAAATTGAGGGGCAAGGCACCTTAGGGGACAAATAGCTATTATGGGGACAACAAGGCAAAATATCATGATTCAATATTCCTTAATAGAACAGAAATACTGTCTGTTGCTGGAACAGAACGATAACTTACAGCTGGTCAATGTATGTGTTTCACATCTGTTTTTATCCATGATTAATCTAAATTGTTAATCTGGTGTTATTGGATATGCAGTGCCAACATTCTGCACGTGCATTCCATTGTGTTCAAAACGGTATTCCAATTTACATTAAAGTCTTAAATTTGGTTGAGTAATTTTTAATATAATCCACTTTTATAGACCCTTTAGCTGCCATGATGGGCCACTTGCCTCTGTTTCAACTCCATGGCATCTCTGTCCTCATGCACAGGTTCAGGGTCAAAGTCCTGGCTGGCTTGCAGCCTTTATCCTCCTCCATCAGTCTGTGCTCAGATCCTTCAACAGGCTGTGTATTTGGCTGCTGCACCCCATCAACCACTGTTAACAGCTTCTCCACGTCGTTAATTCTGGGTGCCATTTGCATTATCTGTGTGTACCGTCTTATCTCGGTGGCAAACGTCAGGCCAGCTTTTCACAGCTCCTACTTTTGTGAAACACTCAAAATAGACGGCACAGTTCGCTTTTCCCGGTGTTTTTAAAATTCAGCCCAGAGCACCTTGTTTTGTTGCCCCTGCATACCATATGAAGCAGCCTGTTGTACCTGGTATACATATGCATGTGGGCAGTAATGAACACAGTGGATGTGCACTGCATTAGATGCTGTTTTAAACACGCAGTGCATAGAGATCACTGGCTTCAGATTTTGGCAAACCTGTTGCTAATGTTGCACGAAGTGAGACTGTACAGATCAGGATGTTTTCAGCCAATGGTGAAGCCCTCTTGGTTTTTATTTGACTGGCACTATCATCTCTTTGTGAAGGCACAGCCTGTGAAAAATTGCTGATGTTTATCAAGGGCGGGCTGCAGTTTCTTTTGTCTTTTGTCTTTATACCCTCCCTCCCCTGCTCCCTCCCCTCCAGCCTTTTTAAACACAAGGGAGAACAAATTTTCTCTTGAGTTTTAAAGAAGTATTTTAACGAGGTGCTGATCTAGAGTTTCATCGCTAACTCACTACTTGAGAACTTCCACAACATGGTGGAATCATGGAGAAAAAATGACGTTGTGCAGGTGTTTGAATTAATTCCTTGCTCATTTTTCTTCCACAACATGGTGGAATCATGGAGAAAAAAATGACATTGTGCAGGTGTTTGAATTAATTCCCTGTGTGTCCTGCAGGGCTCCAACGGCTTCCCTGGTTTCCCCGGGGCAAATGGTGAAAAAGGAGCGAGGGTAAGTGAAATTCAGAAATGTTAGAATCTTTAACTGTGAGTGGGAGCTGCAGATGGGAGGAAATGTATGAACTGTTCAATCCAAATTTTCAAATTCAAATGGATGTAAAAAAAACCATTTAATTTGTACTTAGGGTATGGGATCTACAAAGACTGAACAGAGAATCAGTCAGTGGGTTTTAAAAATCGTAAAACCTTACAGTAATTTACCAGGTCAAAGAAATATAGAGTGCATGGCTTCTGTTGCAATCTGCTCTTTTACCACTAGATGTCACTAGGTTTTACATCCCCACCCTTAAAATCAAACTATGATGGTTAGCATCCAAACTTGCATTCAGATGGTGAAATTGAGCAACTTAAAAAAAATGTAAATCCCAGATCAAATGTTTTGCAAAATATAGTAATTTACTGAGTCAGAATGTGAGTTTAAAAGTAGAAAAATGTCTGTTTGTCGATAAACACGTGGATTTAAGATTTTCAAAATTTCCACTCAAAAACATAACAACCCACAGTATTATCTTTTATGTATAAATAAAATATAGCAAATGTAATAGTAGACATATTGATTTTTTTTAACTTAGTGAAACGTAAAAACTAACAAGAAGAAGTTGAACTTTGGTTGAACTCACTCAACAAATACACAGGTATTTATTATTAATCATAAATGTAGCATCACCACTTGAGCTGAAGGGCTGAACCCAAACCTTGACAAAACCTGTTGGTTTTGTTGTGCTGTAGTGTCGCAGTCAAGTGGTGCTGAAGAAGTTTCCAGTGTCAGTCACTCAGGTTGTCAGTGTCAGCCACAGGTTGTTTAAATAATGCAACATTTTATGAGACAGACAGACACCGAGCCAACGAAGAGTTGACGGATATGTCGAGCTGTCAGGTGTCCTTGTACAATCACTCAACACGTTGGTTCGATTATATATTTCACTCAGGCGCTTCTGTTTGGCTCCCCATTCAAATGACTTCATCGTCTTCTCTCTGTCCTGTTTTAAAGTTTATTTCATATCACAGATGTGATGGACCTACAAATGGACAAAAGTAGATCTACATCATAAAGTTAATAAAAGTGTTTTTCTTCATTTTTAGGGAATCGCTGGCAAAGCTGGTCCAAGAGGACAACGTGGTCCAACGGTGGGTGACGTTAACTGAATATATAGAGTTAACGGAATATATGTACATTTTAACACTGCTTTATGATTTTTATATTTTATAAATTAGTTTGTGTGTCCACTGTCCATGTAGGGTCCACGTGGTGGGCGTGGTGCCAGAGGACCAACAGGAAAACCCGGTTCAAAGGTGAGCACAAGAGTAACTGTTACAATGGAGACGGTCTCTTCAGGAATGAGAAAACATTTGTCCTTTTTTCTGTCAACACATCTTCATGAGTGTGTGTAAACAACATCATATATTAATATTTATAATAATGTACACATTGTGTGTCTGTGTGTTTCCATAGGGAACATCAGGAAATGATGGACCTCCCGGCCCACCAGGAGAGAGGGTTGGTATCACAGTTTATTTTTACAGGAAGTCACGTACTGTAACATACATTTTAAGACTTTGTGATATGAAGTGAAATCATCTTGTCTTTAAAATTTATCTTGTACATTTCTGTTCACCGCATTCATTTTTATTACCATCACAGGGACCTCAAGGACCACAGGGACCTGTCGGTTTCCCTGGACCCAAAGGACCAAATGTGAGTAACTGCTGTCTGTGAGTTAGGACAAAGTCAGCATGACTGCATGTTGCTGTCTTTAAACATATGATATTATATGTATATTCTATATATATATAAACAGCATGACTGCATGTTGCTGTCTTTAATTATACCATATTATATGTGTCAGCCCTGTGTCTTTGTCTGTAATTTGTATTAACTGACATGTCTTCCATTGTGTCCACCAGGGGCCACCAGGAAAAGATGGGCTGCCTGGACATCCTGGACAGAGGGGAGAAGCGGTGAGTAGTTAGTTTCATCCCTGACTGCGTCATGCCCTGCCATGTGATCCAGAACATGGTGCATTAGTGCAGACTCACCAGTGACTCAGCCTCCCGCCCCGTCAGAAAGGTTATACAAGAATGTGCTGCGTGGAGGAAGATGAAGTGAAATGGCAAACAAAATGTACTTTTGGGAGGAAAGTTAAGCAAAAATAACCGAAAATGGGAAATGATACAGCACCGTCACTGCAGTAAAACACAGCTCCAGGGTGGCACAGAATACTGTACAACTGTATTCTCTTGGAAACAGCAGTAATTGATTGAGTTGTTGATTGTCAGTCCTACAGGCCTAATGAGTAAATATTAATATTTATATAATCCTCCCATTACCACCTCATTGATTCCTAGTCAAGTAATATAATATGTTTTAAAATCAGGTAATATTTAGTCATTATTGTGAAAGGAACATAGACAAACAAACTACACACTGAATTTATTTTTAAATTATTTTTAATTAAACAGGTAAGGTTAATAAACCAAAGTGATGAATTAATTTATGATTTTTTTCTCCTAGGGTTTCCAAGGAAAGACTGGACCTCCAGGACCTGGAGGAGTGGTCGGACCACAGGTAGATATATTTAAGTATTTATCTCCAATCAGCTAAACATTACAAATATATTAGACTAAATATATATAGACAGGACATTGACAAAACAGTAGTGTCATGGTACAACAAATCTTATCTTAGCTTGACTTGGCTCGTCCTAATTTATACCATCTTCACAGGGACCAACCGGTGAGACTGGCCCCAGCGGGGAGCGAGGACACCCAGGTTCTCCTGGACCACCTGGTGAGCAAGGTCTACCTGGAGCTGCTGGGAAGGAGGGTGGAAAGGTAAATGAGCTTGTGAACGGGTGTGTTTTCTGCCTCACTGAATTGATTTTGTTTCTTCAGACATTAAGTGTTAACAAAAGTTGTTGAAGTTCTTGTCATAACTGGAAAGAAGATTGTACCTTTAATGACATCTAGTTTTGTGCCGGCTGTGTGTTGTTCACGGGCCGCAGGTGACCCGCAGACCATGTGTTTGAGACAGTTGATTTGATCACATATTGTTTTCTATATTGTTAACTAAAAGTAAAAGACAACCTTTCAGCATACTTTATATGATTTAACCAGATTTTACCCTTTCTTCCTTTTTTAGGGCGATCCCGGTCCTCAAGGTCCAGGTGGCAAGGCAGGACCTGCAGGTCTGAAGGGCTTCCAGGGGGGCAGAGGTATTCCAGGGGGCATGGTAAGACAGCTTGATAATAAGATGCTCACTGAAACGAAAGCTACATCCGAACAAGGCCCTTTGCGGTCACCCACTGTGCACCCGCACCTGTGTAAATTCGCATGACTTCAAACTCCAATTATTGTCAGAGCAACCTGCTGTTAAACCAAATGTCAGGCTTGGCAGCGGTGCCAAATGAAAAGTTCTGAACAGCCGTGCAAGAACAAGGAGTAAGGAAACGAGCCAGACGTAGTATCAACAGACTTCTGTTGAAGGTTAGACTTCAGTTATTCCTTTGACTCTGTCTTTTAGTAAATGTCTGTGTAATCACAGTCATTGCTGTAAGTGTAATTTCATTCAAAGCAGGGCAGGAATTGACAGCAGTCATGTGCTGCCCTGCATTGGATGAAATTAAAAATGAATTAAATCCAACTGGTTTCAAATCAAAAACGTCAACTCTCTCAGCACGTACCACTTCCCAGTCTCCTCAAAAACCCAAGGTAAGGCTTCACAGTAGCGGGTGTGGGTGAGGAGGAGTTCAAGGAGAAAAAGGATGATGATGTTTGAAGAGGTCTGAGAGCGAAGCTGATTTTAATGCTAACTACATGGTGAAGGGCAGCACGGTCCCGATTTATTACTGCACCTGAATGTGTTCCTACATGTATGTTTGCACACCCACTCTCCCTGTTGGTCTGTGGGTTACAGTGCGTAATGGTGATGCTTTAACTTACACACTGCTGTGCATATGTTCCACCAGTGAGAACAATAGCGTATATTAAGGACATTGGTATGCGATGCTCTCTTGTCTTTTTCTCTCTCCCTCCCTCGCACTATTTTGCCCCTCTTTCCTTCCCTCACGGTGCTTATGCACCGACCAATAAATCACTTTTTGTGTGTCCAGCGGAAAAAAAATATTTCCAGTCCTCTAATGCACTGTGGTAAAATGTGAAATCCAGGAAGGCAGAGTGCCCACTTGGCAGCCCACTGCACCCTCTGGCTCTGGCACAGCCTGTAAATCAGTTATTATAACAAAGGTCTGTAGTGCCTTCATATGCAGTCTAAACCTTCTGGTTCTTGATTCAGCTGCACAGGCATTGACATTCAAGGGTGGGACCTGGAGGAGGCGTCAGGGGTCGAAAGAAAGATGAGCATTTCCTAAACCTTGTGATCCACTACGGCCACTCTTATTACATTTTATTGGCTTCTTTGGCATTAAGGTTTCTCTCCTGACGTCCACCATCCTTCAGCCGGTCGCACGCTTCACCCCACAAACACTTTCCTCGTTCTTTATGTTAGTTTTGGTTGAAACATTTAGACGGTTATGGCCAGAATTTATCCAAAAACTCAGCCACATCTCACACATCACTCAGATTAAATATCAGAGGATTAGTTGTTTGAAAAGTCTCTGTCTCTGCAGTGTCTTGTTGCTACATCAAATTACTTTGACTTATTTAACAAGTAATTTAACCTGTTAAACGGGGAATCAATTGCATTTAGGGATAAATTTCAGCAAGCAAAAAAACCCAAACACTTTTAACCATATCCTGTCCATGGTATAATAATGATTTATTAATAATAATAATAAACTGAGTGGCACTGCCTCAACCATGAATATTTAAGATAATCACATCACAAACAGTGGATGTAACAGCAGGTATTATGAAGAGCATTGACATTTACTTCAATAATACAGAGACACTGATGTGAACAATTACTGAGATGGAAAAAAAAACAGTTGCTGCAAGAGCTGTGCCAGGAACAGAACGTTACTGGCTGTGCGTAACGAGTGTAACTCACAAATCATTAAACACTGATGATCTGTGTGAACAAGACGCTAATCTGCTGTGGTAATCTGCAAAAATTAAGGGATTACAATGGGCAGAGATTCAGAGGTTTTAATGAGTGTATTTATTAACACACACATACTGTATTTTGAGTTTGGCTACAGTTACTGCTCTTGCACTGAGCAGCAGCCCGTGCTCAGTTCAGGTTTAACCCTCTCCTGTCTTCTGCTTTCAGGGTCCAGGTGGCTTGAAGGGAGGAGAAGGCCCTCAGGGTCCCCAGGGTCCCATCGTAAGTAGCATGTTGCTATGGCAACTTAATCTTCCTCACTACAGAAACTGCAGTAAGAAGTTATATGCTTTTGTGGAAAGTACAGATATGGGGAGTTTGTGCCACAGCGCCATCTTTTTATATTTTTATTATAGCTTTTCTTACATTATTAAACAGCCGACTAGTAAAAGATATGTCTGATATTTTATTTTAATGGTTTTAAATGTCTTGGACATTTGCGTGATTTTATTTTAAACCGCTGAAGTTTTTACTGTTTTTTTTTTTTATTTTGCATATGTTAACATCATCTTTCTGCTGTAGCTTTCACCCTTCAGCTGTCTATCAGAGATCGCATGAGACACAGCGACACAGACTGTTTTAGATTAAGCAACTTAAGAAGAAAAGCAGGGATAGCGAGGAACTCCATAAATTAGTTGGACTCTACTTTTCTGCCTTTGTCTCTGAGCCCAGGGCTGGGAGCTCTGGCAGTTAATCTGTAAAGAAAGCTGAGTGACAGGGAGCTTTGAACTACCTGACATTTTGTTCGAGCCCTAAACGCAGGCTCCAGATAATTGCTTCTGCTCAGCGGTGACAGAGCCGTCGCAGATTAGATGACAGCAGATATGCAGAGCACGGATGAAAAGATGATGAAAGTGAGAAAAGGGCTAGTTTGCAGCCATTTCCCTCCGCAAAACGAGACTTTTCATGAATTGGAAAAAAAAAGTGAGGTTGAAAACATGAGATGGACTGTTTTGGTTTGGTTTGAAAAATGACATAAAAGAAAAGGCAATTCCCACACACTCAGGAGACCTGATATTTTCCTTCATCGATTTTCCGCCAGGGGATGAGCGGCTGTTTAACTGTGGTGACGAGTGTGTGTGTGTGTGTGTGTGTGTGTGTACCTGGTACACCTACACTTGTGTGGACACTTTCTCCACCATTACTTTAGTTGAAAGGACGCTGTGTCCGTGTGGTGACATTTTGCAGGTCACCACTGAGTGCGAGGGTATTTTGAAGTTCATCACGATTATTCATTATGAATCAACATATTTAATTCTTCAGCGAAACACAAATGTGTCCCCATATTCTGTGCCATAATGTCATTTATATTTTAATGTATGTTAAAATTTAAAATCAGATTTTGAAGTTAACTTTGACAACCCTAGAATATAACTATAGACAGACAGATAGATAGGTTTAGTAATGTATAATTTTCTTCTGAAAGCATCAAATATGTCACACTTCACAGTAAACTGAACTCCTTCCTCTTGATTTCATCTCCTCAGTGCTTCACAATATTTTTTTTCCTGCAGAAAATTGACTTTTTGTTACCTGCCACATAAAGACAGCAATGAGTGATGCAAACATGTTCCTCCCTGACAGGGCTCTCCCGGAGAGAGAGGCGCCGCCGGCCCCGGAGGTCCGATTGGTCTGACAGGACGTAATGGACCCCAAGGACCACCCGGTCCTGCTGGAGAAAAAGGAGCTCCTGTGAGTGATTTTGTCCAACTGTGCTTCACAGGAGCGTCTCTGGTTCTGCATGCGCTGCAGAGATGAGGGATGAGATCTCACGACCGCTGACTGTGTGACACTGCCTAACGACTGCTGTTAATGTGGTGTTTAGGGAGAGAAAGGCCCCATGGGTCCTGCTGGTCGTGATGGCATTCAAGGACCCGTTGGTCTTCCTGGATCAGGTGGTCCTCAGGGTCCCCCTGGAGAAGATGGAGATAAGGTCAAACATATTTCAGCATTTTTTATTATTGTTTAAATGGGAACCTAAGAGGTTGCATAAAGACGTCAAGAGAACTAGAATTTCAGAACCTTTCGATCCTTGCTCTGTTGTCTTTGTACCACATTAAAATGGCCCTGACATTTTGAACAAGAAACACATCTCGACTGCAGGCAGGTTGGACAAGGACGGGTCATCAAGTCGAGTAAATGAATGCACACAGAGGTCTGTCATTGTCCTGCTAAGTGAAGGTCAAAAACACATTTTTCCAAATCTACAGTGTTTAACTATGTTACATATGTCTATCTATAAAAATTAACAATTTTGAAATCGCTGCAAACATCAAATTTTTTCACCAAAGTTAATGTAAACCTGGTTAGAATTATTGAAGCAGCTTTGACATAACATCCTCAGTAATTCTACAGTTTAGAGTACAGTATAAATATACTGTAACTCTGCTATTCTTGTAATTGCAGTGCTGTAGAACCCAGGGATTTTGTGCTTCTCTTTTTCCAACATTTTGTTTAATACCCCTGAAGGGAACAGGAAGAGGAAGGAAGGAAGGACTGTTGACTTGAATGATGTCTTTGTGGTTCAATCAAATTAAAATCTCCAGAGAAATATTTACTGCCTCGGTCATTGTAAAGGTGACACTAAGATATTGGTCCTTGCCTAAACGAAGGAGCCAAGATTTTTTTTTTTTTTTTTCAAGATGAAGATGAAAGATGTGAGCTCTGCTGTTTGTATTTCACCACAGGGAGAAGTTGGTGGACCTGGGCAGAAGGGAAGCAAAGGAGACAAGGGTGAACTTGTGAGTTTTCAATTTTCTCTCGACATTTTCTGAATGTTAAGGAAACTAATATTAGCTGTTTAAAAATCTTCAAGGACATGAATAAATTAGAGAACAAAAGTTGATTTGGTGATGACTCATTCAAGGACATGAATAAATTAGAGAACAGAAGTTGATTTGGTGATGACTCATCTTGGATTATTTTCATGTAGAAATGGACCTACAGCATGTAAAAAATTAACCTAATTAATGAATTATAAAAGTGGTACTGCAGTTCTGTATGATCATCAACATCTTTGTAATGAGGCTGTCTCTGTTCTCCTGTGTTTTAGGAACAGCAGGGCTTTCATTTCTCTCACTGTGCCTTTAATATCATACTGTGTGTTTTTTCAGGGTCCACCAGGTCCAAGTGGTCTTCAGGGTGTGGTTGGAGCTCCTGGTCCAGCTGTGAGTATCACTGTTCTTTGGCGGTCTAGTTTTCAAATGCACCCCCTGTGAAAAATTATCACTCACGGTTTGATTAAAGGACAAAACAGTCTGGACTGAAACATCAAATTCAGTACCATCATCAGTTTGGGAGGGGGCAATATTCACTGCACAGGTCACCCTGTATTATTTTTTTTAACAATTAATGACTTTGCAGAATTTGAAAATAGAGACAGATTTTTTTTATCTGTCTATCTGTAATTTGAAAATAGAGACAGATTTTTTTTTATCTGTCTATCTGTTTATATTACCTCAAACTAGTGTAAACTGATCTCTAATTCACTCTAACCCCAAATGTATAAATAAACAATAATGATTCAAATTAAAAATACTATTAAGTAAAAAAAAAGAAGTACCTAAAAAAAATAGATTTTTTTTCTACTTGTTATAAATGTGATTAATCACAAATAATTGATACACAGCCTCCTTTAAACACACTTATTATTTCACTAATACGACTAGATTAATCCACCCATCCATCTATATTCATTGAACCTACTGCAGTGAGATTTAACCCAGTCTCCTCTCCTCTCATCGTCTTCTGTTCATATCTTTATGACAAGCCAAACCTTGTTGTTCCCGTGTGTGCTCTCACATGGTAACAGACTTAGCAGGAGTCACTGCCTGATATGCTGCAAACCATCATCCTCTCACCAATCTCATTAACACAGCAGCTCAACAATGGCTGATGGCCTGGGGGGGACTAACAGCTCGTTGCAGTAAATTATCAGGCCTTAACAACCATTCCAGTGAAAACTCAGCATCAGCAGGGTTCTAGAATGGAGCTGGTGAGATGGATTGCTGAAAGCAGGTAGCTGGCCAAAGCTGAAAAACAAATTATGACTTCTTTTTTTTTCTGTCCTGGCAAGTCAGTTGTTTTCACATAATAACTGAGTCTGAACTGTTGCCGTAGCAGTGTGGGTATTACCTAATGCTGTTGTCAGTTATGGCATAAACAGCAGTACTACCATCCAGTTTCCCCTTCAGTTATGTGTAATGAAGTTTACAGCAGCTCCATAACCACAGCCATGGACTTCAACAGGCCACTGAGGTGAAACAGCTGAAGGAGAGGAGTCTGTGGCAGGACGTCCTTTTTTCATTAACAGATCGTTTGGGGGTTTTTTAATTCTGATATTTGGATGGTGACTTATTTGGATGACAACAAAAAGCCATTCCTTAACATGGACCTAAGACAAACAGACAACAATCTATTATTGGCTTTTGAATATGCCTCCTGTTGTATACAGTAACTGTCCCAGATTATTCTGAATATCACTTTGGAGTTTCTAGAAAGTTCTGTTGTACTTTCTTTTTTAATTGATGCCTACCCATCTAAAGGAGAGAGACACCCCTAGAGGACTTTGCTGTTTTCACAGCACAATTTTCTTGACTCTTAAACATATGCCCCCCCATCATCTGTCTGTGACTCTTCACTAACAAGAGGCAACCCTTCTGCCTGCAATCAACTGACACTTCCCTCTAAACTGCTATGCATTCAGTGCGAGCACCTGAGGCTGCCCATGTGTCCCAGGGCACAGCCGGAGATCCTTCTTTCAAGAGCCAGTGCTGACATGCGTTTGAACTGAGCGCTGCTGGTTTGTCAGCACAGCTCTATCTCTGCCTGTAGTCTTCTCTCCAGTCCTCCTGCAGCCCTGCACAGCGCTGACTCCATAAATGGAGTCAATATCTTTTACAATATTTAGTTTATCGGTTTACAGTTTACATTGAAAAATACCAGATTGAAGTACAACCTTCTTTACAACCATTTTTTTCACCAGTAGTTTTTTTCCTTTTTAAATCTCTAAGTTGTATGTTCCATTAGCTCACGACCTGGTTGATTCTCTGACCAAACTTCATATTTAGCTAGGAACACCAAACTAACACAGACAGAGTAGAATACACTGTATGTATTTAAAAGATTATAAATATAATATATATTTATTTATATATATATAGGACCTCCATAGACTTCCTATGGGATGCGGGCCCTCCATTGAATACCTACACTTAATACTAAAGGCTTTTTCCACCACCTGGAACTGTGTAAAGTACCTCTGAAGAAGTGATTTGATGTTGTAATGAAACGTGAATTTCCACCTTGATTCTCCTTGATCTTCAAAAGCAGGGAGCAATTCCACTTTCTTAAACCAGGATTTGCTTATGATCTAGGTTGTTGTGACGACAATACAGATGTTTAAAATCCATCTGACCTTTGACCTCTCATAGGGCAGCGACGGTGAGTCTGGACCCAGAGGACAGCAGGGTATGTTTGGACAGAAAGGAGACGAAGGACCCCGAGGATTCACAGGTCTGCCTGGACCAGTTGGACTGCAAGTAAGTCTGCACGTCACACACAGATACATATGTTTGTTTATTCTCAGGTCACATTGAAGACGGTTAAGGACGTATTAGAAATCTTCCTGTTGTCAGAGCCACAGCCAGGGTTGAATGCGCTCCTCGCTGTCTGCGTATCTATGAACCACCAACATGTCATCTCTCTTCATATCATTTCCACTACATCCAAACAGAGCATAATTTATTAATGCAGCGCCAGCTCAGAAATAACACTTTGTAATACTGCTCGGCAAATAATGCCCCACCTTCCTCAAGGACTCGCCTTGGCGTCAACAGTGCAAAAAAAAAAAATCCATCACCGCCGCTAACATTTTCCATTTGACGCTATGCCTCGGTGTGAACTGTGAAGACGGGATATTTTTCTCAGACTGCATCATTATCATGTATCAAGTAAACTGCTCCTCCGCAGCAGCCCCGAGGTAGAAGCCAGCTTCTGTGGCTGCGTGTTTTAATCTATCTGCAAAATTAATTTTAATCATCCCTTTGTAGATGTACAGTGTAAGGAGTTATATATGCTTTGTTCAAAAAAAGATTTATTACTAGGTAAATGCGGTAAACAAGAGTTGACCTTAGGAGTGAAACGCATTTATTTATATCTGGTCTCCTTGTTTGCCCTTACCATTTCTGTTGATCATGACTCACTTCACAGAAGTAGTGATGAAAACTGAACAGGGCAAAACCCAAAGCTTTGCATCATTTCATTGAATGCGTTTGAGTCAAATAAACTTGCTTTGGTGGCAGAGAATAGAGAGTAAAACCCGACCAGAGAGTTAATTTTTCAAGGACTCACTGAGGATGAAATGAGAGCAAACCCTGCTGGTCAATAGGCCAAGATAACATTGTTATTAAGTGCAATTGGCTTTTAATTGTGCGTAATGCACTTCTTCGGCGCTCTTTTAATTACGTTTGACTAAGCTGCCCTTCAATAGATGGCGGCAGCCATTGCAAGCTCAGCTCCTCAATTCAATTATCTGCAGCATTAATGATTTTTGACTATGGGAAATGAATGGCTCCAGTTTGAAGACTCTCATCATGTGGGATGTTGTTGGCTATAGGACAACGCCGTGCTCACTGAGTGAAGGACTTCTGCAAAGACAGATTATGTAAACATTGTGGTGATCAGAAGCTGAATAATCACAGTAGCTGTGAATTAATCGTGATTCATTGTGATCATAATTAATATAGGTTTGATCAGGAAAAATATAGAATTGTAAACATGATTAAAGGAAAAATTTTGCTCGCCTATACCAGCTACCTGGTCATACTTCCTAATGAATACAACACTAATGGAGCGCCCTGCCCTTCAAACCATTACCTATGAAATAAGTTGAGCCTTTATTTATTTCACCGTTCTCACCAGATTGTGCCGGCGCTACTGTGACTAACATCCTGGTCAGAGTTAATTATAAATTAGCTTCCTCTGCCAGCCTACGTACAGTAAATCAACAAAATGGGCTGCAACTGCACACGTATGACATCATCCATCAATATCCATCTCACTCTGCTCCAGTAACTTATCATTACCGCTGCGTTCCACCCACTCGTTGACCATGCCCGCTCCATCATTCATGGTTTAGTTTAACACACAGCAAATAACTGCAATTATGCCAATAGACAATAAACTGGAACATGGGAGAAAACTGTGGTGAATTCAACCTTTATGTCCAAATGTTTCATCTGGGTGTGACTGAATTGCAGGACTGGATCAAATGCACCATCCACGACTTTTCTTTTGTTTTCACTTTCCTTAGACAAGATAGATGGAGCACCCCCCCCCCCCCCCCCCACATCACACCCTAACTCCTGAGACTCCCATACCCTTTAATTACAAGAGGTGTCCTTTTTGACTAATTGCGTGTTTACACTCAGTAGCATTTCTTACATTAATGCTTTATCTTTCACCTGGTGTTATAAAGCCCACCATTCAATGCCGTCATCTGAGAGTACACGATAATGAGCAGAAAAATGTATTTGTGCTGCTTTGTTTGCGTACTCCAGTCCGTAGTTTTGTCTCAGGAGGCTCCTCGCATGGCCTTGTGTTTTTGTTCTGACAGAGTATTTGTCTTCTTCTCAGGGTTTGCCCGGCCCTCCCGGTGAGAAGGGAGAGAACGGAGACGTCGGAGCAATGGTAAGCGCAGCCACTCTTGCCACGGCAATTCGCAGTGTTTGCACGCACAGCCCTGGGTGTTGGCAAATCGAGCTTATTGATGTGAGGCTTTGGCAACACTACCAATCACTCAGCAGATGTTCCTGAAGTCCGTGAAAGAAGATTTGACACAAACATTTCAACCCAGGCGTTGTTTTTTGGAGCCTCTGTTTCATCCTTATTTCAGCAACGAAACTTTCAGGACTCGATGAAAACAGAAAAGTACAACAGCTGTCGGATTTTACTTCACACTTTTAGTCCAACATATAACCCAACAAGTATAAACAAAGAGCCCCAGTGTGATTATGATGAACATTTATGTGAAGAGATGTTCATCTGTTTTTGCTGAACAGCATATTTTTAATGCAGCCTAAACATCGTTGACATTGATTTTTAAGCGCATATTTTTAATGCAGCCTAAACATCGTGATTGATTTGACATTGATTGACATTGATTTTTAAGCTAACCCTTATACAACGACTTTACTGTTATTAGTACCATATAAGGCATGTGGAACCTCACAGTTTTGGACCTCTAATCATTTCTGTATGCACTGCTAGGGTCCACCTGGTCCCCCTGGTCCAAGAGGTCCTCAAGGATCCGGCGGTTCAACTGTGAGTTAAACTGTTTTGTCCATATGACATTCCTACAAAGGTTCATTTTCCTTGTCCTGTCCTGTTGTCTATTTCTTTAAAAATGATATAAACCACTGAGAGTGTATTTGATCCACAGGGTGCACAAGGTCCTCCTGGTGGAATTGGTTCAATGGGAGGTGTTGGTGAGAAGGTAAGATATATTTTTTTGGTCAGTACTTCTTCAGCTATGAATTATTCAGTATTGTAATCCTCCTGGGAATGTATGTTCTCTCTTTGTAAGTCAACTTTCTAGAATTTTTTTTCTCCTGTTTCTGACTCACATTACAGAAAAGTTGTATATGTTAAAAGTAAAAGCTGCAGATTTAAATTATTAAACTTTTACTTGCAGATGTATAGCAGTTGTGACAGTATGAATTATCAATTACAGGGAGAGACTGGAGAAGCTGGAAATCCAGGATCGTCAGGAGAGCCTGGTATTGCAGTAAGTAGAGTACATTTGTTTTGATCTGATCTTCTGAGCATTGAAACCTATTAGGATTTTATATTTTTTATTTTATACAATCCCAACCTCCTGCCCTCCTTTTGCAGACACTCTATTCCCACTCTATTCCTGCCCCACAGATTTTTGCCTTACCACCAGAACCACCACCCAAAGCCACTTGAGGAGAGTTCCTTAAGAGAGTTTTTAATCAAACTGAGAGATCTCAGACTCCAAGACAATGACGCAGGCCGGGTCACTGTCCTGGTGTCTGAGGTCATAAGGTCATATTGACATGCCCAGCCTCTGCCACACAGACATTAACAGTGACAAAAACCCAGAGTTTCACACCACTTCAGGATCAATTTTAGAGAGTTGCCATGGTAGCAGTGACTGGAGGAACACTCAGCTCTAATAAGCTTACTGATGTTTTCAGACATGTAGCTGCCACTCTGAGTCATGCTCAACCGTTGAGACACTGTGTCAGCCATATTAGACACTGTAATAAAGGGGTGTGCACTCATCCTGTCAATAACGAAACTCTGATCCAAACACTGCTATTTTGGTTCCCGTCTTTGTGCTCTTTGAAGTCACGATGACTGTGCTGCTAATAAGTTCTGATGCTGGTTTAACCACAGGCCTAATTATACGTTAGTGTCTGAGATGCTGTTAAGGCTCATATGCTGTATGATCATCATTGTGTTGATGGTGATGTTTTTGACCATAGGGACCCAGAGGAGAGACTGGTGAGAAGGGAGAGACTGGCCCACCTGGTGCTGCCGGACCCGCCGGTGCTCGTGGACCTCCTGGAGATGACGGTCCTAAAGGAAACCCCGTACGTCCCCTCGACTGAGCGCACACATCAATCACCGGAGCATTAGTATTGCTATGATGATGTCATTTGTCTCAGTCAATCTGCCTGCTGCCAAATTAGCTGTTGAATCAATAGTGTTGATACACGGTGAGATAACAGAGTGAGGTCCAGTCTCAACGTCTGCTCTGTCTGCAGGGTCCTGTCGGCTTCCCAGGAGACCCTGGTCCCCCTGGTGAGCCAGGTGCTGGTGTAAGTGTTGCATTCGTATCATTGCACCCAGGCATGTTGCATCGCGGGTTATACCATGAGCAAAAAGAAATGTATAATTTATAAATGGAAAGATACCAGAACATATTTACAAGAAGAGAGGTTTTAAAAAATGTAAAAAATTTGTTTTTAAATGAACAAGTTATTTATTGATTAATTAACTAGTCATCATAGACACAGTTGAATAAAAAAATGGTAACTCACTAAAACATATACGTGAGTGTAAATAAATATGACAATATACTAGTAATAGACCTTTTAATTGAACAATTTGTATTAATTCCTTTTTTTTCTGTGACAAATATTTAGGGTCTCGATGGTTTAGCAGGCGACAAGGGTGACGACGGAGAAGCTGGTCAACCTGTAAGTTAAAAGAAAACAGCAGTTTTTTCTATCAAAGGTTTTTGATTTAGAAATTTAGAATCTAATTAAACAGAAGGTGATTGATCACAATGTGTTTGTGTTTCTCTGTAATAATCACAATTAATCATGATTAATCATTAATGGACTTGAATGTTACTGGAAGAAAAAGGCAAAAAAAAAGATCATCTGTGTATTATGGCACAGATGCCCATTTGTTACAAAGTGGGAAAAAAAATTCTAATTTAATTTTAATAACATTCCTTTCTTTTTTTCATTCAGGGTCCTGCTGGTCCGTCTGGTGAGGCTGGTGTTCCTGGACCTCCTGGCAAAAGGGTAAGAGAATGTCCTGCATGATGCATGATGGGAAAGTTGAACAGAGGATAATCACATGACGTGACTTTGGCTGGCAGTGATATTTGGCGTGAGCTTGTCACTTTAATTCCTGGTACTCCACACTCCTCTGTCACATCAGACTTAAACTGAGATTATTTCATTTCCCTAGTGTCACATTTTTATGATGGCCTCCATTCATTTTAATAATGTTTTATAGATGGCAGTAAACCATGTCATCAGTGCACAGTATGAAGGATGGCTGAAAAGAATGGAAGTGCATTCATTGTAATAATCTGTAAGCCTCATCAGCAACAGTATTGCTGCCATCATTTAATGTGAATGTAAATATTATATCGGTCATATATGTATGTCACATAATAATGATACTGTACATCAAACAGTTTCATATTTAAGAGGCTTATTTTCTCTGGACCTCTACATACTTATCATATGCATTAGGGATTATTTCCTGGAGTCCAGTTCCATGTTCACGTTAATTGATTGTAATTATTTCTTCTTCTTCCCGTCTTAATTCCTGCTNNNNCCTCTGCGTATGCCTCCTTCTACTGAATTGACTTAGGTTTCGGCGTTCATTCATGCGTGTGGCTGTTCCACCACATTAGCGCACATGCATAGAAGGGAGCACACGTGAATGGCTGCCCATACACTCCACTAATGCACATGCACAGTCGGCACAGACTCATAACCTACATCAGAGACCAGTGGCTTTTGTCTGGTCAGTGACCCTGCCCTGGGGCAGTTTAGGGAAAATGACCATGTGCTTTTAGCCCCCTGTGTTTGAAAGTAGGCCGATACGTTTGTGTTGCTGTTTGACCTTTTCTTTTGAAAAAAAAAAAGATGAAGGTCAGAGGATATATATGATTGTCTGCATGTATATGTACATGTATATACTATATATACAATATATATATATATATATATGCATATATGTATATGTACTTACATGCATATATAAATATATGCATATACACATACCTTTATATGTACAGATATATAAGTTGTGGTTTTATTTTGGTGAAATACTTTTATTATTATTACTTTTTGTCATGTGTTGTTGTTGTTACAGTTATTATTGTTTGTGTGTTTTTTTTTTTCAGGGATCAGTTGGAAAACCAGGCCCCGAGGGGAAACAGGGAGAAAAAGGTTCCAAGGTAACCCCCCCCTTATAAATATCACATCAAAACCTCAAGCCAACAGATGATTCAGTCAACAACATTTAAATGTTACAACATAATGGGTCTTTTCTTCAGAAAGATTGATTGATTCAGAAGATTGTTATTAACAGGCTTTTTTATGATTCAATGTGAAAAAAGCAATTTATCCTTATATCTGTTTCTGTCTTTTTTTATATTTATGTTTATGTTTATTTTCCAGGCTTTTGCAGAGATTTGTTTTGTAGCCTAAAAATATTTTACTTTTATTTCTACCTTAATGGTTTTTCTGTCCAATGGGTCGCCTGGAGCTGTTGTAACATATGCAAAGATATGCAATAAAACAAAACGTCTGTGATATTTTGGATGACAGGCCAATACAAGACGGAGGCTTTAAATATGTTTTGAAAAGTTGCAGTTGTGGCAGAGATTTTATTTGTTATCACACAGTGTTTGCTCTGATGAAAAGCTTCATATTGGAACCAATTTTTTTTTAATGTTTTACAGAAGAAAATGTCAAAATAGAAAACAACAACAAACAAGTATAGTTCAGATCACTCATATGGAATTGGATTTGCAGACATTATACTGAAGAAAGCAAACATCGGGATAAATCTACCTTTAAATACTTGGAAGAACATGACTTTATTTGACTGTGTGTTAACAGGGAGAGGCTGGAGCAGAAGGACCTGCTGGTAAAACTGGACCTGTTGGACCTCAAGGTCCCCCTGGAAAATCTGGTGCTGAGGGTCTGCGTGGAATTCCTGGCCCTGTCGTGAGTATTTATTGATATAATTTGAAAATATATTTCTCTTTGCCTTAAAAAGTTTTTTTAATTATTTTTTGCTGTTCAACATTGCATTCCTTTTTTTTTTTTTATTTGCCTATTCCAGGGTGAGCAAGGACTTCCTGGAGCTTCTGGTCAAGACGGGCCTCCAGGACCTCTTGTAAGATTTAGCCTTTGTCTCTAAAACCAGTTGTGTTTGCTCGCTGTGCACAAACTGTTTGTTTGAACAATGAAGCAAATGTAAAGGGTAATTCTTGGAGTATGGTTTAGAGTAGTCAGCTTGAGTGCAGTACTCCACTCTGGCTGCAGAACACTTGACGGACTGATTCCTTTGTTTTCAAAGGGGCCGCCTGGACTTCTTGGAATGAAAGGTGACTCTGGATTCAAGGGAGAAAAGGCAAGACATGATTAAGATGCTAATCTCAAACTGCTTTGCTTTGTATTCCTCATATCTGCCAATGTACCTTATCTCCAAGCCTCCAAAGTGAGCAAACATCAAGGTCCGACCCTCGGATCTCCTTCTTGACTCTCGCACAGAGCAGTGATGAAAGTTTCCGTCCAGCGGTTTGATGCAGTGAATGAATATGTATAAGTCCAATAATAATGCCAGCGCTGTGTGCGTGATGGCCATTGGTTTATGCAGGCAGCTCCTCTGAGCAGATGGCCATAACTCTGCCCAGCAGCAGGTGCCCAGACACTCCACTATTGTTAAATGTGATGACCACCATAAACAAAGTCATTATCTGTTGGCAGAAATAAGACTGGTCCCAGGTCAGCCGGTTTTGGGTGAATTGGCTAATGTGTTTCTTTTCTGCTTAAACGTAAATAACCGTGGTGGCAGAAACCGCCTCTTGTCGAGCGGGCAATTAGTATAAAAAAGGTCTCAGTGTCCACAGTTACTTGGATGATGTTTGTGTCTCATTATTTCTCTTCTTCATTCCCAGGGTCATCCAGGTCTTATTGGTCTGATCGGACCTCCGGGTGAGGCTGGAGAGAAGGGAGACAGAGGTCTGCCTGGTCCTCAGGGTTTGGGAGGAGGAAAGGGTGAATCTGTAAGTCTGGGTCAGAAAGATGTTGCTTTTATTTTAATGATGTACAAAATGCAAAAATTTAGTGTAGAGTGGTTTAAACAGCAGTTACAGCTGGGTCCATCAGCTGGATGTACTATAAAGGTGTCGTCATCTGTGGTTAACTTTGACTTTTTTTTTTCTTTTAAGGGTATGGGTGGTTCTCAAGGTCCTCTCGGTCCTCCTGGTCCTCCTGGTCTCCCTGTGAGTTTCATTCCTGGACTGAAAATATTTTATTTTTTTCCTTTAATTATTACATGTGTTACACACTGAACATGTCTTTATTTATTACTTTGTCAACAGGGTGCACTAGGACAGAAAGGTTCCAAGGGATCAACTGTAAGTTATGATTTTTTTTATTGACGGTAATGTTCATTTTTTTTCATTTTCTGATTATTTAAATTTTTTGTTGTTTTTTAGGGATCAGCTGGTCAGAAGGGAGACTCTGGACTGATCGGACCTCCTGGACCACCTGTAGGTTATGTGCTCATTACTGAGAATCATTTTGGCCGCTGAACATTTATTCCACTTTCTTCTAGTTTGCTCCAAGGACAGTGTAACTGAGAAGTCATTTAAATTCATCAGATATTTGCCAGTTAAATATTCTTGATAAGATCATTTTCAAATGTAATGGATGTAAAAAGTCGGGCTGTTAAGAATATTAAAATTCTTTATCTGCTCTATCACAGGCTAGAGTTGGATTAGTCATGATGAACTTGATGAATCGTGATTAAATTTACTGAATATGACGAAACATTTGGCCGTGCATTTATACAAAATTAGAAAACCAACACCCAATGTGTTGTTTTCTGTGTTTATTTTTGTGATTAAAAAATATTCCTGAAATAATCCTGTTCTGACATGTCCCTGGCCTTGATATAAACCATCTTTCTCCTTCCCTTTTTTCAGGGTCCTCCAGGTGACATGGTTCAGCCTCTGCCTATTCAGCATTCAGGCAGAAAGACCAGGAGACAGGCGGAGATGCAGGGAGACGAGGCTCTGAGCGACTACGCCATCGAGGGCATGGGCATGGAAGGAATGGAGGACGTTTTCGGATCCCTTAACAACCTCAAACAAGATATCGAACGCATGAAGTTCCCCATGGGAACCCAGGACAACCCTGCCAGAACGTGCAATGACCTGCACCTGAGCCAACCAGACTACCCAGATGGTAAACAAAATTATCTCCACTGTTGTGATATGATGAGCTCTCACGCAGGAGATGAAACTTCCTGACTTTGGAGCAGCGGTAGACGAGAGCCTGATAAACCCGTGAATATCTCTGGGTCATTTGACTGTCTGGCTGCCAGAGTCTTAAAATTGACTTAATAAAAAATGATGTACTCAACTGAGTCACCTTCGGCAGACATTAGCTCAGAGCACTTTAGCATTAAAAGCAGCAGCGGTATGTTTCGTGTCCTCCCAGGTTATTTATTCACTCTGTCAAAATAACTCAATTTTTATTTCCAGCTCAAACTCAGTGCTGATTATTGTTGGTAGTATATAATATTTACACCCTCGGTGAATGATCATCACCGTCACACTAATTAATTGTACAGCCTCAGAGTAGTTCACAGTCATTCACTAAACTGATGTTAAAATTATAGCCTTGTGGTGGACTGTCCAGGCGTTGTTCTTCCTTTTCTCTGTGTCTCTGTAGTGAATAGGTTGATTAGTGTGAAAATAAAGGCCATAAAGGAGTGGTTAGTGATTTTGCTTTACAGTGTGAAGAGCAGCTGTTCGATCCCCAGTCTTTCGTCAACGCCATAATCTGTGTAGACCTGGCGGTTTGCAACATGGCATTGGAAAAGCTTGATAAACCCCTGGACTAGCCAACTGATGTCTAGGCCTGACTGCAGAACATAGAAGGATTAGGCAGTAAAAAAACGTCCATACCTAAAAAAAGATGTAGACGTCATGTCCTGACTATGTTCCACTCCACCAGGTGAATACTGGATCGATCCAAACCAGGGCTGCATAGGAGACGCCATCAAAGTGTTCTGTAATTTCACCTCAGGCGGAGAAACGTGCATCTACCCAGATAAGAAGTCAACAGTAGTAAGTCTTCTACTGTCTAATTGAGACAGAGCAAGATGTGAAAGTGAATGATATTTTATTGATTTGAATTGTTTTCAGTTTGTGCTTTTCCTGAAATAATGCTATTCTGCTGTTCTGTAGGTGAGAATATCCAACTGGCCGAAAGAATCTCCAGGCTCATGGTTCAGTGAATTCAAACGTGGTAAAATTGTGAGTTAACCAAGGAAACTTTTACTGCTACCTTCCAGTAGAATCTCTCAGCCATTAGGGATTTTTTTAATGCAACATCAGTGACTTCTCTTTCCACATTTCTTCATCATTTAGCTTTTCTTTTTTTTTTTAAACTTCTGTCCTCTCTAAATTTTTCATATTTCTGTGCCGTAGCTGAACTACGTGGATGTGGCTGAAAACACCTTAAATGAAGTGCAGATGACTTTCCTGAAGCTGCTGAGCTCCTCAGCACGTCAGAACTTCACCTACATGTGCCACCAGTCTGTGGCCTGGTACGACGGCAAGGCCGACAACTATGACAAGGCTCTGCGCTTCCTGGGCTCCAATGATGAGGAGTTATCCTACGACAACAACCCTTTCATCAAGCCATTGGTGGACGGCTGCGCGGTAAACACTCACACTCACATTTAAAATATTTTTCAGACTTCAGTCTCAACAGAACTGTTACAGAAACGTCTTAAGATATCTACTTGTATGCCACAAAAAACGGTTTAGACTTAGACTTAAATAAACCTACGTCGTTTTTGTTATTAGAAATCATCATAAACCATAAAAACAGTTTTAAAACATACATACACTATGTCCAAGTACTTGGACAATAACACTTTTATTTTAAAAATGCAAATAGAAAACACCATTCACCTGACTGAATGATCACTGACTGCAGTTTAGTTCAAGCAAACAGAGAAAACACACAAGGTCACTCCAACATAATGAGGTTTTAATATGAATGCCAGGCGGGGGCAGTTGGCTGTGACCTCCAGTCAAATCTAAATAAAATAAATTTGTTTAATCGCTGTGTATCAAATATTCAGAATAAAAGTAGATTTTAAAAGTCATGAATGCTAAATACTCTAGTATTGGTTAGAATACAGTACTCCGTGGCACCTCCTTTGTCATTGGTGAACTTAAAGACACACCTAAGATGTTGTAACCAACCTGCTCTTACCCCCTTGACCTTTGCAGCTGAAGCAGGGTTACTCAAGGACAGTGATGGAGGTCAACACTCCTCGTATCGACCAGTTGCCAATCATTGACGTCATGCTGAATGACTTTGGGGAATCCAACCAGAGGTTTGGCTTCGAGGTCGGCCCCGTGTGTTTCCTCGGCTAGACGCGCCCCCACTCCCGCTGATGAACAGGGTCATATTAACACCCACATGCTGAGATCCAACATCCTTTACCTTCTCTCCCTGCGAAGCCAAAAATAAAAAAAACCTGTGTTTACTTTTACTGCCGAGAAGATCCACTCACGCCCGGAGAAGAAGAGTGGCCCCCGGCCCTGTCATTAGAGCGCTGAGCAGGGGAAACTACTCCTCGCCCTTGTAGGGCTCGAATCACATGACTTTAACTTAGAAATCAGAGTGACATCAGGAAAAGGGCATTTGATGCCGTGGCGGACAGTGGCACACTTTCAGCAACAGAGAGAGAATCCGCCCTCCCCCGCTCCTCCCACCTCCCTCGTCCCTTTGACTCCCACCATGCCTCCCTCTCTGGATGCTCCAGGTGCTGCTCTGAGTACAACCACAGAGGTGTTTTTGTGCTGAATCACAAAACACTTGAGGTGCTATAAAAGTGTTTGTTTTCTTTTTTTTTTTTATAAAACTGTAATTATTATAATTATTATTATTTTGTACAATATTGTTCCTTTCTGAATCCACTCTTTGAAAATAAAAAGAAACTTGCATGTGTCCCAGTTCTTAGAGATTAAATAAATACTTTTTTAATATGATAAATGGATAAAAATACTGTTGAAAACACATTTGATGAGAAATATTGTCACTGCAAAACAATGACAACAAAATTTGAGCAGAGATTTCCCCTGTTATATATTTCTTGTAAATATTATAACTCAGATTATTTGACTTTTGTGAGAAAAAAACTAAACTGGAATATGAAACGTATTTAGATGCAGTGAGTGCTTTTTTATTTTCCTACCAGTTGGTATTTCATTAGGAAATGAAGCCATCATAAGTTTATATAGTAATATAAATAACATGACAAAGGCCTATTCTTCCAAACTGACTCTATTCACCCAGATGTTGTACCGGAGGGTTCAGTGTGTGTATTTGGTTTTTTTTATTACAAATTTGGCTCTCTTTTTTTTAATCTAATAATTTACAAAAAAACATTTTTTGTTGATTTTGATTTTGATTTTCTTTTTGTAGCAATGAACCAAATGTTTCCATGTGCCTTCTCAATCAAAAATATTAAAACTGGATTCTAAAAATCGTTGGGTTGAATGTTTGTATTGTTGGCTGTTTAGTACTCGTCGTGATTCTGAGCTGTCTTTTTTTTTACGTTACTTTATTTAACCATTTTAATTTGGGCTCCACGGAGGATCAGTTGTTCCTTAGGTCTTGTATCTGCGGTTCTGCTGAGCCCAGATGCTCCAGTCTCCTCCGGTTTCTTCCTCTGTTCCTGCTTTGACTTTGATCACACTCTGTTGGCATCGTCACCTCCTTAGCTTCCAGCTATTATAGCATAGACTTCAAAGCGCTTTCAAAAACCTGTGTAATTACACCATGTTTACGACCCATGTAACAACTCAAATAAATGCTTGGTGCTCTACCCAATGCACATGGCAATGCTTTGCATTCACTCACAGAGTGTATATCCATACAGTCAGGACTGTGCACGACTGGAACCAGCACACAAACAAAGTTATGATCGAGAGTGAGAGCACACACACACACAATGCATCCATTCTGACAACGTACGTGTGAACGCTGCATAACAAAACGTCTCCCCAGGGCTGTATAGGTTTTCTAATTGCACTTTAATCAAAACCACAACTTAGACAAACTCACGAGAAAGTGCTGTGCTTGCTAAAGGAATCTAATTTGTCATTGTAATTACCACACCACCAGAATATTCTGCCCAGGGTTAAGTCAAAAACCCTCTGCTACAAATAGGTGTAAATAAACTTTAGGAAAAACATAACATGACCACCGACGCTTACTTTGAGGAGACACAACTAATTGGTTCATTTACATTGACCCACATCCAGTACAGAGCAGGAAGTCCAGAGTGTTGGACGTGAACCTACTTCACACTCTCAAGATATTCAGCAAACATGAATTAAGTCAAAATGAATTCCAAATTCTGTGAAAAATTCAATAGGGTTTGGGTTTTAATAATTTTAATTTTTAATACCAGACAGCGGGAAATGTGGTAAACAATTTTTAATACCAGACAGCGGGAAATGCTGTATTTGTATGTCAATATTTGTCTTGCAGTGAGGTCAACAGGTTGCTGGTTTGATACTGCTTATTTCTACATAAAGTTTTGCATTTTCTCCCTGTGTGTGTTTGAGTGTACCCCCACTATTCCTCTTTCAACAGTCAAAACACATGCAGAGTACATAAGGCCTACGTCTACGTATATAACGCAGCAGTTCCACCGGAGGTCGCGGTGGTGCGGATTAGCTCATGTGCTGGCATTAAACACTAAAAGCGAACAAAACAACGACAGAACAACAACAAAAATGGCCGAACAGCTGACAGGAATTCTACTTCCTTTGGTGTGCTGTCTCTATTTGGACGTAAGCAAAGTTAAAAGTTGGTCACTAGTACCGGGTTAGTTACAGTTACAGAGCAGGAAGAGCTTGTGTTGATAACATTAAATCACACCGCAGGTGGAGGAGCTTGATTAGAGACAAAGACGTTTTCATGTTTGTCCTAAATATAAGGCAGCTCTCACTATGACTATATTTATTGTTATAAATGACTTGTTCTGTTGTTTAATAATTGCGTGTGCTAATGCACTTTTTATGGAGGTTTTGAGAAATAGTTTGTGTGTCTGTAGTTAAAATAACCTGTGTTCAACCTTCTCTTGTTTTTGTTATGTTTAATTATATTTTTTGCATGTTAAACGTATGACTTTAGGATGACGTTATATTTTGTAATAATCCCAACGCTTCCTTTGTCTTTTCTTAATTTTAATGAAGAAAGAAAAGTTTAAACAGAATAAAGAGCAGGACAGCACTTATCGATTGCCTTCTTATTTGTAGGCTCCCAGTCTCTCTCCCTCTCTCTCTCTTTGTCTTCCTCCCACTCTCTCCATTCTTTTTTTTTTACATAGTTTTAATTTTAAAATGATATTTGAGCTACAAAAGACACCTGCCTCATTAAAATGTGTGTCATCATCAATTTGAACTGGGCTGAGCAGAGAGCCATTGTTGCTGCAGGAGAGAAGCTCATAGTGGATTCATAACATGACTTGCTGCAAACCTTTGTTCAACTGTGTTAAGAAACTTCTGCCTGTGACTCTCAAAGGCACTCCCTCACTTCAGATGTTCTTTATTTTTAAACATTTATACCCCAAAGTCTCTGTCAGAAATCCACATGAGTCTGTACAGTCTGTGCTCTGATTTAAATCTCTGGGCATTTTCCACAGCCTCCAACGTCTTCCCAGTCCACTCTTATAGGACAATGTCCAGCCGAGGCCCAGCAGGAGGACAACGGATTGTATCCATATAAATCGGGCAAAAAAACAAGGTAAATATCTGGTAACCTGGAAGGTCAAGGTCGATGACCTTGAAATGTTTGAAGGTAAGATTTTAAGGTTGGCACATTACATTGTCTTAGAAACATTTTCACAAGTACTGTGTGACTTTACCCACCCTGAAGGTTTATATATAAATATAGAAACAACTGTATTTATATACACCTGATAATGTATATATTTACCTGTACAAACCACTGTAGGAGTTGCTGCCACCTAGTGACTGGAGGCTTGTTATCATTCAAGCATTACTGCAGTGGTACACTTGTGTCCAGCATGTCATATTGTGTTTTGATAATTAAATAATAGTATCTGAAAAACATTCAGTAAGTACGATCAAAAAACACATCTGATTCAATGTACGGCCAATGATGTCGAGGCCAAATGGAAGCAGTATTTTGTTGAGAGTAAATGAGAAAACTGGGAAACAGGATTTGTCTTATTACTGTGAAGGTAACACAGTCAAGGACATTCTCTGGTTCAGCCTGTGGCTGTAGCCTGTCAGGCTTCCTTTAGAAAGTGTCTGATAAAAGATAGGATTCCATACATAAAAAAAAAACCAGGATAAATGATTCTGTCCAAAGGCAAACGCTGAGGAGCATGTTATGTGTGAAAGATGTTGTGTTAGCGTCGAAAACATGTCATAGAGTGAGTCATGTTTTTTTTCACCTGCTGATTTGTTCTGTGAAGCACCACGTTGGGAAGAGCTACAACTAAAGAGATAACACAGCAGTATAAAGAAGTCAGACATGGTTTCCACCCCAGCGTTTTCAATTTGTGCTGAAATCAAAGTCATAGCTGAGTCCAAGCCCAGCACAGAGACATGATGGATACAGTGGACGTTTGATTAAGTGTAAAAACCTGCCTGTGGCTTTCATAACATCCTAGGTTTATTATAAAAACAGTGAAATATCAACTTGGAACTCTTCAAAATAATCCGATACCTGTGGTTTTAGTTTTTTTATTATTATTATTATTGATTAGCAAGCAGAAGAAATGCTAAGAAAATGTTAAACTATTTTTCATTTTATTTTATTTTTACATACCTACAAATGTTTTTTCAAGGTTCAGTGTTATACAGTTGTTTCTTTCATTCATTCATTCAATTTAATGGAAATAAATTAATTCATATCACAGAGCAGAAACCAGAGGCGGAACCTCAGTCATGTGTATGCAAGCCTGTAGAATGTTAGAGATTGTGATTTCAATAATTATTTCTTAACATTTATTTTTTATTGTTAACCCATTGTGTTAAACTTCATTAAAACACAAGGCTACGTTAGCATTTGGCAAAAACTGTGTTTGATAATTTAGTTAATTAATGCTGCCTAGATTTTCATTCATTTGTTTGTTGTTGTTCTTCTTCTCCTTGTTCTAAGACTTGATCATTTTTTTAGGTTTGCATTTTGGAGCTAAAACCGATCCCAGCTGACTCATAAGGTGAGGACAGGTACAGTTCACCAGTCCATTCACACTCTGAGTGAATAATACTCCAAATTTGCCTGTGATATATGTATATATAACAATATATGTGGGAAACACTGTCTATTTACCTGTTGTTATACCACTGTCTGGTCTAGCAATATACCGGAAAAATCCATCCATCCATTTTCATCCGCTTATCCGTTACCGGGTTGCGGGGGCAGCAGTCGCTACCCAAATCACATTGCACTGTACCAACCCCCCTAAACCTTCCTGTAGGTGGTGAGTCCACTGGAAGGGACCAACCGCCCTAACCGGGATTCGAACTTGCCCAGGAGGTGAACCCTGAGGTTCCACACCAATGACAGAGACATTGCCTCTGGGTCAAAGCACCACTACAGGAAAAATTATTTTGTAATATTGAAGAATCGATTGATTTATTTTGATTAATTATGATAATCATGATATAATTGCGATCACTGTTTATTACCGTGATTATTCTTGTTTACAACGGTGATAGATCAGATCGAAACCCCTGATTATAATTAATATTTCCTTCTTCCTAATATAGTCAGCTGCAACTTTTATCTGCACAGCTGCGGTGAGAAACACTCACGCACACACACACACACACACTTTGAGTCATTGAAAAGCGAGACAGCTGCTTGATGTCATATCCGCGGAGTGTCCCTCTGACCTACAGCAGCTCTAGTATTCGCTGCATGCGTGCCCACAAACTTTTTTCTCCCATGCAGTGACGATGTTTCTTCCCGCTGCCCACCTGCCATGCGTAACGGGGACGAGTGGATGGATGTGCCCTCCTCCTCCCAAGGCAGACACGGTTTGTACAAGCGCGTAGTGGACGTGGCGGTGGAAGCCGTGGGGCACAAACTTGCGCGATTTCTTCCTCTTTCTCGCGGCTGAGAAGGTGGCGCAGGGAGGCGTAGGAGCAGCCGACAGGATGTGGTCGCTGTCCGTGGTGCTGAACCCTCTGCTGTTTCTGCTGTTGTTTGGCTACTGCCCTACCATGGTGAGTTTCAGCCAGTACTTGTTTATATTACAGCGGATGTAACACAATGCTCGAAAGTTCAGATTTCTATGAATGTGAAAATTCGGGTGGAGTTGCGCTGCACTCCGTCAGTGGATGGATGGAGACAAAAATACTGAATGAGTCATTTCCGATTTTTTTTCCCCGAGATTTTTTGGCATATTGATCTGAGTCAACTGTCTCCCTTGGCAATATATTCACCAACCCTGACACTTAATATGTTAAGGTTGGAGTCCAGGAGGTGGGAGGATAGAATAGAAATTGGAAATTGAGAGAGGTGGAGGAGGAGGAGGCAAAGTGACTAAAGTCATGTTTATTGCAGACACCAGACAGGAGTATGTGTTAAGTAAACAACTTATTAGTCAGGGGAATAACAGCTGACAGCAGCTTTCGTAATAATAATATTATTATGATAATAAAACAGGTTATTATAGACAGCAGCTTTCGTAATAATAATATTAGTAATACATTTGAATACATCATAAAACATGATGATAATAAAACAGGTTATTATGATGAGAATTATTGATGTGCTTGCTGTTATATAATATTAAAGGACTTTTATTTATTTATTTCTCTCTTTATATTTGTTGTGTTTGGTTTTTCAAGCCTCTGTACTTCCTTGGGGGGACATTACCAATTTAGCAGCAGCAGCTCGTGGATCACCAAGTCATTTAGACCAGAACAATGGTCAATTAAATTCACTCCGCCCATGCTGAGAACCATCTCTATGCCAGTGCTTTGATTGCAGAGCACTGTCCCTACATAGGAATATGACTAAAGAGCTTTGTGCAAAATGAAAGTTGTTTGTTCTTGGACAGAACGAGAAAAAAACATGTTTATGGAATGAAATGAGGCTTCCTTTAAGTCTTTGGCATTTTCTAAGCCAATTCACAAAATAAGAGAAGAGCCAGCTGCCTGGATTATTTAATGAGGGAAGAAGTCTTTGTGAGGAGTCCATCATGAAACAGCTGAGTTGAAGAGTACATCTGTCTTGGCTGGGCTACAAATTCATTTTATTTTGAGGAAATGTGCAAGTGAAAAGGGAGAGGAAAGGATGTGCGTCACCCGAGAGACAGAAGAGTGGGAACGTCTTAACACATTAGTGGAAATCATTTATTTTCAACGTTCAAAGTTAGAAAGATGTGGAACAAGTACTGTACGTCTTTTTGCCATCGCACCATTTCTATACTAGGGTATTCGCACAAGCTACATTCAGAAGGCATAAACCTATATTATTTTTTATCTATTACTGTAGGTACTTTTTGATTCATTTTTTAGGCACAAAGTGAAGTAAAAGATGTTCTAAGATGTCACGTGAGACTAAACACTTTGAGTTTGTGTGTCAATTAGATAATCCTCTCTAGAAATCTGGATAATGTATTTTACACCTGGTTTCAACCCAAGTCTTTGGCCCAACTTAGCAAATCATCTTTGTCCTATAAATTGTCCCTTCAGTTAAGGAAAATAAAAACCTACTTTTTTCAGATTTTGGTTAAAAAGTTGATGTTTTCTCTGGTTTCAGAAAGATGGAAAATTATGATTGAATAAAAACTAAGACAACTTAAAGCTTGGCAAAGCACTATAAATATATTTTTATTAAATTTAATTAAAAGTTTAAATAAATAAACAAGAGCTTCTCGATCAAGTCTGCCAAGAATGGTGATAGTTGATGCCTGATCCCAAACCATTTCTTATTGCCTGGTGGAACAGACAGAGATGAATGGGAGAAGGAAATAATGCCTGCAATGAAATCGAGACACGTCCATTTCCTGTGTTCACCAGCTCCAAAGTCTGCAGGTTTCCGACGTTTACGTTGACATTCATGTTATTTTCCTCCCGCTGCGAGGACAAAGAAAAGGAAACCCAAATGATATTTGGGGGTCTGCCAACGAGGCTAGTTGTGCAGACAAATTTACCATCTGCAGTCAAAGGTTGCCAATAGTTGGCTTGGAGCTCGTGTTAATTTCCCAGGCTGATAGTGAACAGAAGTATTACTCAAATACTTATCCTGCGTGAGTGTGTCTAATAGATATCAACATTTACAGCTCTTCAGAACATTTTTATCAATATTGGGGTAAAAATAGTATTTACCGCTCTCGTTCTCCGACACTGCTTGATGGCGCCACATTAAAATATGCATCGCTGACTTATGATGCATAACTTTATATTCTTTGGACTTTGCACTCTGGAGCTGTGAAGCATATTGAGTGTAATAAAGAGCAGGAAAAGCTCCCACAAATCAGGTTTATCTGCCCCTCCCAGCAGGACATTCAGCAAAGGCTCTGCAAGGCTCTGTGAGGAGAAACAGAGGGATTTCAACGCTCAGGTTATTCATCAAGGCATAGCAACACTATTTATTGTTAAAGGGGAAATTCACTGGAGATTGTATAGTGCGAACAGAGGAATATCAGACAGCAAAAAGGATTTTGTGCGTTCAAATCTAAGTCAGTCAGTGAAAGTGGCTGGTGTCAAAGCTCAGGGAAAAAAAACTCAGAAGATAAAAAATAAGAAAAATACACAAATGTCACAACTTGATGATGGCGTTACTATCAGGCAGGAATGTATTTTTCTGTGTCTCTGTTGGTGTGTTTGACTGCTGTGACTGTAACACAGTGTTTGCCTATGCAGACCATCAGGCCAAAGGAAGGGTGGCAGGTGTACAGCTCTGCTCAGGATGCAGATGGGCGTTGTGTCTGCACAGTGGTGGCACCTGAACAGAATCTGTGCTCCAGAGATGCCAAAGGCAGACAGCTCCGCCAGCTACTGGAGAAGGTGTGCATACAGAGACACAGTCACTGACACACACACACACTCTAACACATCTGTTTGTGACTGAATCCATACTGACATGTGAAATTATTTCCATCATCAGTTTTGTTTCTGCGTCCTTCTGATCCCATAAACCACTGTCACAGCCTGGTGTTCGGCTGTTATTTATAATCAACAAATAAATGGCTGATCGAGCACTGTTTTAATTGTTCTCAGTTTGTATTGGGCCCGTGAAGCTGTGACTTAGCAACAAATATGCTAATGTCTCTTCTTAGTTTAACAACACAGTGGATGGATGAGACAGATCAACAAGTCGTTTTTTTGTTCAGAGGTATTTAACCAACATGTGTACATTTGTTACTTGAAACATAAATATACAGTGAAAGTAAACAGGAGACAGTGTTTTATTGGTGTAAAAGCTCCGCTCACTTTCTGTACAGTTGACTGTGTTAACTATACAGAAAAGTTTGATTTTGTTTAACTTTATTTTAGGGTCGGGATCTTATCTATATATAACGACATTAACGGGACAATAATATTTATTTAAATATTAATATGTATATATTTATGTATACATATACAGTATATTAATGTGTTTGTATAGTTCCGTTTTTTTTTAACACAGAACCATTGGTTTCCAAATGTATTGAAATAGTAATGTGTATAGTCCTGTTTGCTGTAGCCCAACACCACACATCTGTGGTGACTATACAACGCTGTTGTCCAGTCCGTTACATATTTTAGTTTATCTTAACCTTAGGTAGTGTGGGTATGTAAAACCAATCAATTTCCCCTTCATTTAAAGAAACAACACATGAAGAAAATAATTTTCTATGGCATTAAATTCAGAAATCCGTCCCTTTACTGCTACAGTTATTCCCCTTGTATTAATATGCCACATAAAAAGCTCTGCTCTTTCCTACATTTTAAAATGTTTGCCAGAGGGTTTTCACTGTCATTCACTCTGGCCTTTTGACACTAATGTACTAAGCTGCCTCAGGGTATCTGACGAGGTAATTTTAGGATGTGTGTGCACAGGCCAGAAAAGTATGCAGAACATAATGTGAATATTGTGCCACGTTGCCATTGACAAGCTCAAACTGTTGGTCAGTTTCCCACTCCGTTAAAAGAAAAACAGGGAAAAGTCATAGGTTTTCCTGTTCAGGATCTCCATGAAACTGTTGAACTGTAGAAGAAGTAAAATAAATCTGAAATTAAACATTAATGGAATGCAGAGTCAGAAGAGCCTGACACGAAGGAAACCCTGAGCTAACACAGGAATTAGTTAGAAAACAATGTGTTTGGAGGTCACAGCATTCAGCCACCTCTCAGGACGTTGGAGCGCGGCGGTCTCCTCAATGTCTGCCTAAGCACGGAGGACATTTCAATCTCCTGTTAGACGGCAAGAAATCAATGCAACGCTGTTTGGTTCTTTTCAAAAAGGTGCAGAACATGTCGCAGTCAATTGAAGTGCTAAACCTGCGCACGCAGAGGGACTTTCAGTATATCATGAGGATGGAGAGCCAGCTCAAAGGTCTGCGCTCAAAGTTCAGACAGATCGAATCGGACAGGAAGACACTGGTCAACAAGAACTTTCAGGTAGATTTTGTTGCACGTTTTTTTTTTTTTTTTTTTTTAACATTTGTTTTCATTTGTTCACCTTTAACGTAATTACACTTACAATTACACGGACAACATCACTGCCTGTGTGTGTTTTCCAGGAACTGAAAGGAAAGATGGAGTCGCTGCAGCCGCTGATTCCCGTCTTGGAGCAGTACAAGACAGACACCAAGCTGATTGCGCAGTTCAAAGAGGAGATCAGAAACCTTTCTGCAGTGTTGATAGGCATACAGGAGGAGATGGGAGCCTACGACTATGAGGAGCTGCAGCAGAGAGTCCTCAGTCTGGAAAATCGACTTCGCAACTGCATGAGCAAACTGAGTGAGTGCACAGCTGGGAACATTTTGCTACAGGACGATGTTGATTTTTATTTTTCTAATAAAATAACATTTAAATCGACAGGTGACTAGTCTAAATACTACTTGCTGTATGTCAACATAAATGGTTTGAATAAATCCTAATGTCAAGTGGTTGGGAATCCTTCTAATATTAAAGTCATTACATTGACATTCAGAGTGCTTCAGCTGTGATTGATAAAAAAACAAAACAAAACAGCAGTTAGACACCAAACGGTGAACAGCCAACAATCCAAATGTCTGGCGAGGTGAGCTGAATGCTGCTCAGGTCTGTGTGTGAAAACACACTCAGCTCTGATTAGCACAGGTTTTACTGGGCTGTTTGTCTTGTCCTCTGTGTTCAAGGCTGAAACTTTTCATAAACTGGAGAAAGACTAGCTCCATGGATCGGAGGTGTAGAGAGCCCAGGTTGGACACAATAACGTGGCGTGCAGTTGTTTGACAGGAAACCTTTGTGCTGAATGTGACAAGAGCTTTCTGATGTGTTCACAGCATGTGGCAAATTAATGAAAATCACTGGACCGCTGACGGTGAAAACATCAGGGACCAGGTTTGGAGCCTGGATGACAGACCCACAGGCGTCGCTCAAAAACAACCGGGTGAGTTCACCTGATGATTCTCTTCTTCACCATCCTTCAACGGTGGAAGGTTGAATTGCAACCGCTTATAGAGGTGAAATATGGGGAATTAGGAGGATAGGGGTTTCAAACTTCTAGCCTAAGGGGTCCACTTCTAGTCCACAAATATTGCACATCTGGCCCATTTTAATTTATATTTCAATTTTGCCCTTGAGGTTAAATTATTTTAAGTGATTTCCAATTGATTCATTATATTGTTTATTAAATTTACTCATTAAAAAAACAGTTCTACACACATTTGAAGCACATTTAGATTTTAAAAGTCACCAGTGGCACATTTTGCGGTTAAAGGATGGGGCGTGTGATTCAAAGATTGACACTTTAATTCCTAGTGCGAGCAGGCACTCTAGAACTCCCCCGCTCCACGGGTGCAGCAAAATGTCTCCCACTGCTGCTGTTTCATGGACGGGATAGATGCAGAGTGAAAATTCTGCCATGTGTGTCTGTAATGTATCTAATAAAGTGGTTTCTTTATTTAGTGACGTAAATAAGGAGAGTAAATTTGTCACTACATTCTGTTTTATTTACTATAAATGTTGTAAATACAGATACAGACTTCATGAGTATTAGGATATTATTTATTCAAAACTGCTTCTACTGCTGAAGGATGTTTAAAGTCAACAGGGAAAATGTGGCTTTTATTCAAAACTGCTTCTACTGCTGAATGATGTTTAATGAAGTCAACAGGGAAAATGTGGCCAAGTTAAATATGTGTGTTTTTGTGAACATCCATTGTCTTTTTTTTGTTTTTTGTTTTTTAATTTCTTCCTTTCCTCCTCTGCTCTTAGCTTCTACTTAATCTGAAGGTCACTTTTGATTTTCCCCAGGATAAACTTTGTCTTCAAAATCTGTAGTATTTTGGTCCAGTTGCCTGTGGGATTTCAGCGCCAGTACAACCTTCATTTATGCACAGGCTTCAGGTGCCTTCAGTAAAAAAGTTCCTAGATAAAGCAAACAGCCAGCTCAGAAATGAATGTAATATAAGGAGTTCTTTAGTTAATTATATACTATTTGGCTGTGTTTTTATACACATAACATAACTCTAAACTACAAAATACAGTTGTATTTGATCACCATCATTATGGTGAGGTTTATGTCAAATCCAGTGGTTCTCAATTATATTCTGTTATCATTCAAGCGTTACAGCAATGGTACAGCAGTGGTACACTTATGTCCAGCGTGTCATATTCCATTGGAAGCCCCTCACGCACCGCCTCCAGGGGGGCACGCCCCACTATTATTATTAGGCTAACTCTTATGTTAAGGTTATACCAGGGTCAGGGTTACTAAGGGTTAGGACCAAATTCAGGGTAAAGGTTAGTGTTCCAGGTTCAGGATTCTTCAGTTGTTCAGGATTGTCCGTTTCTCCATCCTCAGGTGTGGTACATGGACAGCTACACCAACAATAAAATCGTGAAAGAATATAAATCCGTGTCTGATTTTGTGGCCGGAGTGGAGTCCAGAACATACAACCTGCCGTTCAAGTGGGCCGGGACCAACCACGTGGTCTACAACGGCTCCTTGTACTACAACAAGATGCAGAGCAACATCATCGTCAGGTACAGCTTCGAGACGGGGCGAGTGGTCACACAGAGAGCTCTGGAGTCGGCCGGCTTCCACAACGTGTACCCATACACGTGGGGGGGCTTCTCAGACATTGACCTAATGGCTGACGAGCTGGGCCTGTGGGCCGTGTACGCCACCAACCAGAACGCTGGGAACATTGTCATCAGCCAGCTGAACCCCGACACGCTGCAGGTGCTCAACACGTGGAACACTGAATACTCAAAGAGGAACGCGGGTGAGTCTTTCATGATCTGCGGCACACTCTACATCACCAACTCCCACCTCACCGGTGCCAAGGTCTACTACGCTTTCTCCACCAAAACCTCCACCTACGAATACACAGATATCCCCTTCCATAACCAGTACTTCCACATGTCCATGCTGGACTACAATGCCAGGGACCGCACTCTCTACGGCTGGAACAACGGCCACCAGGTCCTGTTCAACGTCACACTTTTCCACATCATTAAAACTGAGGACGACTCTTAGGAACAAGAACCACATTAAAAAAAAAATTAAAAAAACATCTGAATGTTCTTATAATTCGACTTGTTTTTCTAAATGAACCTTGTTTGAATTACCATGACATTATTTGAAGCAGTCTAACTCATTTTATTTGGCCGTTTTCCCACAATGAGGTGAGTGACTGTCTATGTAATGATGACGAACGTTCTATATAAAAGCAAAATGCAGCACCAAATAATAATAAAAAAATTAAATAAAAAAAAAAACCAACAACATTAAAATAGAGTGACTCATCCTGCAGGAAAAACAAATGGGACTAAAACATAACCCTTTTATTCCCAGCACTTCTCTGCAAAATGTAAGCTTTGGCTAAGTGAAATTTTCTTATTTGTAATGGGTTTTATTGAGTTTTGCACTTATTCATGCTGAATAATTTATTCTTTTTTTTAAGGCAAAATGTTGAGTAATTGATCAGTGCTTTGTCCATTCTTTGTCCCTTGTTTCTTCGTCATCATCGGCTAATTTATTCCTGCCTTTCTCTACCGCCACTTAGTTTTAATTGGGGAGGGGGCTGGAGTGGGGGGTGTCCATTAAACCTGTATGGTTATTGTTCTTGGCTTTTTGTGTCTTAGAAGACTCAGTCATTCAAGTCGTGGAATATCAAATAAAAAAGTACTACAGGAAACAGTCCATCTGTTAGCCGTTAACGTAGTACTCTGTGATGTCAGCGTTCACATCACCTACGTTAGTATGCCTTACTCTGTGCAGTTCATGCTTGAAGCCCAATGATTACAGCTCTTGTGCATGAATGTCGGCTAAATTTGAAGTCATTTAACTGTATCTGTGTGTTTTGTATTTGCACAACGTCATCTCTCCTCAAGCGGCCGTCCAGGTCCATGTACACAACCAGCAGATAACGGAGTTTAATTAGCATTTGTTTGTGTTATTGAGGAGAAGTTATACTCCAAATAAAATAACTGTTTTAATTAAAAGGAGTGCTGTGTGTGTTTGTGCTCACAGGACCACAGATAAGATGACGCTCTGCACCTCAAACACACTGCAGTGAATCAGGATGTTGTTTGACATCACTTTGAAGTCATAGACCCAAGGGCAGTCATGCGTTTCTATCTTTTTTTTATTTCTTTTTTTTTTTGTCCTCTGAAAGGGTCAAAGTGACTTTTTTTTCATGTTTCCTGAACTATTTGCCAATTTTACATCACAATAACTCTGGGTGCTTTTATCACATTATTAATATGAGTGTGTTTTCTTTCCTGATTTTCCACTGACTAAGAGAGATGTGAAACACTTGCTGTAGGAAACATTGTCAGCGTAAAAGCATCACAGTTTGGTTTATGCCTTGACTTTAATGGTTTTTATGAGCATTTGCAACTGGATCTGTTCGCTCTACTGTTTAGCTGCGTTGTTGTTTATTTATTATTATAGGTCAAAATGTTTTAAGACAGATGTTATTAACAAACACATCCAGGCAGCAATTTGGACCATGGACCATTAGGATAAAATAACAGACTTTAAATTTGGTTTAAAATTCAGCAAAAATATTAGTGTTAAGAAATGACTTAAACTAGTGTCATAAAAAAGTGCTAACATCTTGTTGACGAGCCTCAGTGAGCTCTTTGAATTAAATAATCAGCCTGTGCAACGAGGTTGACTGAAAATAGCCTTGAGGTATTTTTCTTGGCTACACTGCCCGTGACTAAAGGTAATATAAACCCTACGTGTTTGTAGTGTAAAACACACCGCACCTAATCAGGCTTGTCACACATATGGACATGCAGCTGACAGCCAGGGTTCTGAGTCCCACCTCTGTGGGTCAGATCAATGTAGATCAGTCAGACCTCAAAGGACTGCAAAGGTCAGAGATCCAAAAAACACAAGGACTTCAAACCCTCAGAGATCTGAGGTACTGAATCCTGGAGAGCAGCGCTCTCTCAACGCTGACTCCACCACAACAGATAATGAACAACATTGTCAGTGGATCCACAATTCAGTTTTGGCCGTGACAATTATGACAACTTCAAGTACAATTTGCTTCAGTTTCTAATAAACAACACTTTATTCTTCTCCAGTTCTGAACTGACACTTGATTCATTTATAAAAAGGGGAGGATTTATTTATTATATATTTGATTTTACCCACCTTAATTATACTGGTCCCCTAAAAAAGGAAAAAAAGAGTGTAAGTGTCCCCTTTCACTTACACTTACACTGGTGGGGTCTAATGCCAGGACTTCCAGGTTCATACATATAAATATTTATATATATTTATTGACTTGTTTTAGTTCCGTCTGGACATGATTTCTTTCCTTTTCTTTGTCTATCCTGTCCCTGACTTTTCCCATCATCCTTTTTTCCCTCTCTCTTTCTCAGTCCTACAATCAAAACTGCTAGCATATGTTAATCTTTTCTCTTTTTTCTCTAAACCACTCAGATGGGATTTGCAGCTCAATCCTCGAGGCCGTTCTAACACACTGCAGTCAAGCTCTACAAAAAAGTAAATACAACAACAAACACTCTGAGAATTCGACCTGTATGAAAGGGTTATTGTTGTTGTAACAAAGAGAAAAATCTGTGAAAATGTCGCTAACAAATTTATCTAAAGCTGGAAATGGTACATATAACGTAGACAGGGATTGTCAATGTACATAAATACATAAAAATGTATATTACTGCTTCTTTGTCTTGTCATGTGACACAAACAACAATATTCTTCTGTTTATCTTGTAGTTCTCTGTTCATATTTTAACCCCAGTGAGATGGTAAAAATATGTCTGAAGAAAATGTTTTACTTTGCAGCAATGCTTTCTGAGCCAGTCGGCCATTTTCATTAATGGCGGTTTATGATGTGTAGGCACCATTAAAAGGCCTCTCTCCACAGGTCACGCTTTTCTACTGAATTTGTCCCCTGATGAGTAAAGATATCATAAGAAAAACATTTGTGCTGTGAAAAACGGGGGAAATATGTCATTAGCTACAGATATGTTGTGTTGTATTTAGAGCAGTCAAACAATTAGATAATTATTATAATTTCGCTACTGTTTAATATTCATGTAACTAAAGCTAAAGCTAAGTTCGCTACCGCACAGCGTGAATGCCGCGTTTAGATCTGTAATGACGATTGTCAAACACTTGTAGAATGCAGTCCGTTGTGCTATTTGGGGCCAGTAGACGGCGATATTCTGCAGAACATAAAATGAAAAAATCCATCCATCCATCCATTTTCATCTGCTTATCCCTTACCGGGTCACAGGGGCAGCAGTCTCTATGACCGCCACCCAAATCACACTACACCGTATCAACCCCCTGAACCAGGATTCGATCTTGCCCAGGAGTGGACTGTCACGCTGCCAAACAACAACAAAAATAAAATATAATAATAACAACTACTTTAGTTATATTTTAATAGAAAATGTGATATGGTGACAGTAACATAATGTAAATCTTTGGCAACAGTTGCAGAGAAATGTGAGCATGTTAATGTTTCTCACTCATTTTAATTTCCTGCCCATGTGTGGATGTCATTTAAACATCAGTTGATGAAAACACTGCCAGCACTGATTATATTCCACTGTGTATTTGTTCAACATTTGCCTTAAGAGTGACTTCTGCCAAAACCATGTACCGTTTCTGTGAGCAATGTAAATGTCACCGTGACTAGTGCTATGTGCAAACTCCAGGCCCCTGATGTGGGAGTCATTATTTGATGTATTTGATAGCGGGAGAGAAACGTAGAGGAAAAACAAAGATCAATCATATGTAGTTATTTGATTTTTGTTCAACGAGGAGAAAGAGAGAGAGAGAGAGAGAGAGAGATTGTTGCCCTTCATGCTGTTGCAGTCCAGTGGCAGTGTTAATTTTAAATGTCACTTGCTCTCCTTCATTTCTGTGTTTGGCTGCGTTCTGCCATCATCTCTTATCTGTGTGCACAGCAGCTCTGGGTTTGGCTTTCTGAATGAATGGGCTCAATAAACCTGTCACAGTCCAGACTTGTTGACTCCGTACAGACTCACTTTACAGGGATTCATTCGTTTTTATGGGTTTCACTATGACTTTAGATTTACAAGGGGACTACTTACTGATGACAAAGCTATAACATAGTTGGTTGATGTAGTCCATTTGTTCACAGCTGTGCTAAGTTGTTGCTTTTCTATGCTTTGGTATAAAAAAATAAGTCAAATGTGTGTTTAAAAGCTGCTCTGATGCAGAGGGATTTAAATGTCTTTCAAATCTAATGGCTGTGACAGTTTTAGTGGGGCAGCTGCAGTACCTCTGATTACAGACAGGATTCAAGGGGAGGTCAAAAAGTTTTAGGACAGATGTTATTAACAAACACATAGAAAACCTGTTAAAATAATAGAAGATTTGCACCTGGTTTTGAACACCTTATAATGTAGAAAAAGAACCAGATTTCAGTCCTTACTCCAGGTAATGAATCAAGTTATCACCTGTCGGCAAGAACGTCCCAGAGAATTTTACATTATTTTTTTCAATTTGTCTTAAAGGTTTTTGACCAAGCCTTGTTTTGACCAACCATGTCAGTATTTCAAATTCAAAGGCATTGCCATCCAGGCAGCAGTTGGACCACGGCCAATATACAGTATGTGACCAGTCAGTCACAATTTAGAGGAACTGTGGGACATTTCCTCTAATTTAAAATTTTTTAAACAACTTTTCATCATGTTCTTTTCTAAAATTGGACATGACTTCCTGTGAAAACTATTTTCTTACTGTACATAGCCCATTACAGGAGCCACACCTATATTTTACTGTATAAATAGGGGCAAGAAATAAATGAAAAAGCTCAGTAATGGGAATGTAAATCCACCATAAAGTAGTGGCCACATTCAGTCATTTACCAGTTATTTTTAAGAGTTTTTTTAAAGAGTCTCATGAATGGTAAAGAGCAAAGACTCAGCGGGCCATGGCAAACACAATCAGGATGTTAGTGCCTACAGCTGTCAGGACAGGTGCTCAGCGGGATCTCTGACTGACAGCCGAGCATGTGGAGGCATAGATGAACAGTTCCCTGTTCCATTAACTTTCTGCTGCCGATGCCTCAGAGACGAATCTGTGGCACAGGCTCTCGGCGAGTTCTGCAGAATGGGCTGTGGGCATTCTCAGCTAACGACTTAGGTCTTGTATTAGTGAGATCAGATCGTCTCAACAACAATGTTTGTTTGTTTCCCCACAGTATGATGTGTTTTTTAATGGCCACGTATTTAATTTAAGCTTTTCTTTTTTATGGTTTCTCCCACTCTCACTATAATAAGGGATTTATGTCTGGGTATAAACTAGAAGATGACAGTGACCAACTCCGAGGCACAGTAGGCGTGACGGCTGACAGTCCCACATATATATTCTTGGCATTGTTTCACCTCCATTACATCACCGCCACTAAATCCCCAGGGTCCTTGGCCCTAAATTCTGCACGGCACAAAATGTAAACCTGGGAGAAAAAGAGTTTAACAGAAGTGACTCTGCCTACAATGGTGTGAGCTGTCAGGTTGTCAAACTGAGTGAGAGGAAAATGAATAACTATTTAGAAATGTTTGACTTATTAAACCTTCAGCACATTTAACTGGAGCACAATGGATGGATATATAAAAATGCCCTGAGTGTTTAATGGAGAAACACAGATCTACTGCCGCAATTACAGTCGGCTGTGGCTGCTGGATAGTTTTGACAAATTTCCTGTCAGTCTGCAAATTATTAAGGCAGGCTGTGGACCGCTATTTCCAACAGCTGTCACTCAATTCACGATGGTGAAAAGTGGGCGGAGCCTGTGCCTCAGTACTGAAGTCTGTTCAGCTGTGAAATGTAGTTAATAACACTAGCATTAAGTTTAATTATTATATTAATATAAATATAATTATATTATTAACATTTAATAATTATTTATTTCCTATGGTTTTAATTCCTAAATCAAAGACGTCTCTACATGGCTGCTGCTCCATGATAATTAACAAATTCAAATTCAAGGACAATATGTCTTGAATCTATGTCCTATATTTTGATATTTTTTTCTTTTCACCTTCTTCTAACAGTAAATACTGGAATGATCTATTACTCCAGTAAAACGTCAAACAAGCCACACAAAGGCCCATTAGTTTGTCAATGATTAGGTACACACTCTGACAATAGAGTGCAGTGATCGCTTGTACCTAATCACTGAGCAACTAATGAGCCTGCACTGTCACCTGGTGTGGTGCAGGACGCTTGTGATTGGATAACTAGGCTCATCGTGCCCTTTAAAAGCGGAAGGAAGTAGCAATACGGTCTGCAGTCAGCATGTTATTGAATTGTCTCTTCAGAATCCCTTCAGGTGCAGCAGCAGACCCATGTCGCCATCAACTGGGCCGGTGGACTCTAGGACGCCAAGAAGTCAGAATCATCTGGTTTCTCTTACATGAACGCCAGCGTCCTGTATCTGAGGCCCTGGTTTCGAACCAGGGCCTCAGATACAGACACATTT